TAATGATCAGGAGCGCTTGCGTTACTTGTTTTTCTTGTGCATTTCTAGTATTCTGATTTTGGTGTTTCTGGAGTATATCTCTTACGCTACCACAGAACAGCAGCCAGATAGAATACGAATGGATCTCCTTCTCAAGGCTATGAAGGTATGGATGCCTTTTTTGTCTCCCCTGTGCGCTGGTCGATTTCTTCGAGTCTGTGTTTGTGTGTGTGTCAGTCGTTTATTTAACTGTCTGTCTGCCGCTTTGTCTGTCTGTCTGTCTGTCTGTCTGCCTGTAACTGTTTTGTCTTACTGTCGGCCTGTGTCTGGCTGCGGCCTGTGACTGTCTGTCGGTCTGTTCACAAATAGTCGGCAGTCACTCAGCCATACTGTTACTCAGCTGACTCTCCTTGGTTAGCTTTCGAGTTGTAATTTTCGTTATTCACTATCTCTCAGTCTTTTCAGTATGAAGTCTGTGATGACAAAGGTTGCCTCAACACCCCAACCCCCGTCCAAACAGAAAAGCCAAGTTCCGTTTTTCTCCTCTGTACACAGGGCCAACATTTCTGTCGAACTCAACATATCTGTCTCTTCAACTGTTATTTTGCAAGTCACAATTTAAATCACTGGATTTATGATATGCACGTTGACGACTATTGCTTGCTCTTATTTATTTGTCAGGCAATGGAGTACATTATTAAGTTCATTGTCCAGTCAAGAATTCTGTTTCAAAGGTAAGGTGTGCGATATTTGTTTTCACGCGTAGCATGAACGAAGTCGTTATCTTGAACGGAACTTTGCAAATTTATCGTTCATCAGTGTTGTGCGATTATTAGTTACCTATGGGGACGAGATTTAGGTTTTTCCATATTCTTAAGAAATATATACACCCTGGAAAGCTTCGTCGTACTTTTTTCACTAGAAAAGTTAGCACGGTTATTATAATTTTTATCTTTTGAAAGAAGGTTCAGCCTTCCCACGATCGATCGCAAAATGATAAAACTTCTAACTCTCCCCTCTACGTAGTAGAATGACGAGACGGCTGTCGTGTTCTCCAGCCAATATGACGCTGGTGCACACGCGCGCACTTGTAGTATTGAGAAAATTTCGTTCTCATAGTCGTCCTCGTCTTAGAATATGAAGGTCTCTATTGTTAGTAATCCAGGAAACTAATTTCATTACTTCTTGATCTTGTCTTAGAGCTGTGGGTGAAAAGGGTCAGGCAGAATTCGAGGAACGGTTGAGAAAGCTTTTCCAGGCTCTAGTTCAGTTAATGGCTGACGTTAAGAATGAGACCCTCTTGACTCAGGTACTTAAGATCTTAAAAATTCTATAGGGGGTGCGAAACCCAGGAAGGGCCATTTTTGCGAGAAGACAGAATACGCCTGGTTGCCCGTCTTCGCTCGTCTATCTTTGTGATTTGTGAAAATAAGAGATTGCTTATAAAATCTGTTGCTAACCAGCCAGGAGCTTAACTAAATACGGCGGCAACAGCAACGAGAAGTTAAGTCAGATAAAGTTTTATAATTAAAACATAATACACGTAGGGTGCAAGTGAATTGCACTTTTTGGTACACTTTCGTTGCTGTACGTTGGTTATCTACGACGTGAAAATTCTTTTTGCATTGTTTTATGGGGGGTGTAAACTCCCTAGTTTTCGTTCCTTCCGTAGGGTGCTGCCTTGAAGTACTTCCCCGCAACATTTGTGGACTTGATGCAGGTGTTTGACATAAAGGAACTCAGGTTAGCAGAGGGAAGGGGGGAGATTTTCCGTAAACGAGGATTGCTGTTGTAAATTTGGCTCAACGGAAAGGGTGTTAGTCCTCTTTTGATTGGATTTTTTAATTTCTCTCTGTTTAACAACTTGGGAAAACTGCAATCATTTTTAAAAGTTTTCCTAAACAATCGTCGATATTCATAACTTAAGATGACGATCTTATGGCTAACCCAAAATTGTCAACAACTTCAAGTAAAAAAATACGAAATAACAGAAAGTTGATAAGCAAACATCGACTTTCTTTACCTCAACATGTCGGTTGTGACCTCCACACTTGCTTCTGCACCTTGTTTTTGTAAAAAAAAATGTTCCAATTGATAGCGGCTGAAAGTACAGCGTAACTTCACAGTTGCGAAAAGAAAGCCTGACAAATTTCAGGCGTGAACGGGTTTCGAGCTCTTGACCTTGACCTTAAACCTATCTTATAGCTTTGCTTATTTTATTGGTTTTTCTTTATTCGTTCTCAGCTCAGGTCAATACAAGCGATAAGTTTTAAACGTGAAAGTGTTATCATACGTAGATCGCTGTCTCGATACTTTGATTTTAGTTTTGATTTTACAACGTACAGGGGCACCCAACGAGAATATAGTTCAAAACCACTTAAACAGCATTGTTAAACGTATTTTAGTATCTAAACGGTAGATATGGACATATTTTTATCCCCTAAAATTGTTTATTTTTCGGATTTCCTAGCTGAAAGTCTAGTGATCCGAACATTATAGAGATCAAACCTTACCTTTTCGAAAATTCCAGCCAGAAAAAAGGCTCTCGAAAATTCTAGGCGACCATTTTAGGGTAAAAATCCGTTAAAAATGGGCAATTATACCATGTTTTAGATGTTCGAAAATCCTAGGAGAGGCAGGCAGACAAGAAATTTTACACAAAATGTTCCGAAAATTTTAGATCTCAAATCGTCTTCCGAACAGATATTTTCCGAAAATTTACGTCGGGTGCCCTTGAACGTATACAATTACTTTAAAATTGAAGGAAACCTTCAAGTAATAATGCGGTGAGTTAGACTTAAGGATTAAGTGTGTCTTGGGATTAAGGAGTTTTACGAGACCGAAAGTATTACCTTCAAATAACTTGAAAGGTTAAATAAAAAAAATTCAACATTGAAAGACCCTCTTAGACGCATAATGCGCTAATACGAGAAACGTAAGTGACAGATGACCCAGTGACTAGGAACGGGCTAAGACCGTGATACTACGCGTTTAACTCGTACTTAGTTAAGAGCAGAAATAGTTTAGACGAGATCTTTTACTTAATTAAATTAATTTAGCACCTACCTTTATTATTACCTATTACTTTTCCACTGAATCAACGACCGAGTTATCCAAACAAGAAAGTAAATGAAGTAGAAACTTCTAGGTCGTTTCCAGCGCTTTTCAGTTCTCACACACGTGTTTCTTTAGCTTCACGTGCGTATCACCACTCCACTTTCGTCCCTATGAACAGTTGCAGAATCCTAAGGAACTCCTCGGAGCAAAGTCAAATGCCCGTTTTATTTGTCGAAAACAATTTCAATGCGGCCGTTTTAAAAATAGTTTTATAAGAAGTGGTGATCTTTTGGCCAAATTATGGGCAGATGATTATCGACGGTCCTCGAAGTCACGATCACGTCTCGCGAAATTTGGACTCTTGTTGTGAGATGTCATTTTATTGAATCCAGTCGATGTATTCTTGCACAATATCAGCTTTTTGGATGTATTCAGTTTACTGGAGTTTGTAAGAGATTTGATGGTAATTGGAATCGCTGTTGGTTAAATATCCACTTTGCAAGGTTTGGTAACAAACGATGCCTGGTTGTAAGAGGACATAAAACTCAAAAGAATCGGTCGACAATTTTGTAACTCAAGAACAGAGGGAAAACATGTTTCACGGTGGAGAATATATTTGGTAAATTTGAAGTTAACTTTAATGAGGCTGTTTGTCCTGAAATTGCATGTTAATGTTAGCTAGTGACACTAAGGTAAAAGTAAATGAGCTCTCGCTGAAAATTTACAAATATAGTACATGGCAGTTGGAAGTTGCGTAATTGACATATGCATATAAGTGATTAAGCGTGGGGCCAAGATGAACAGATGTTGGGCAATTTTTTGTTTTGTTTGGTTTTTCGTTGTTATGGACCGAGACGAAGTCCACCTTCATAAAAACATCAAAAACCATCTTGAACGACGAGATTGGCCTATAAAGGATTTATTATATTAACAGCAAAAACAAAATCTTTTCTTGCAATATGAAGCGGGAGATCCCGAGCGGGAAAGATACTCCCATCTTGCCTGGTCGGGTAGCCAATCAGAACGCAGGATCCGCTTCATTTCGCCCTTTCAAACCCAGACATAATTTAATGTAACTGTTATCTGTTTTCTGGAAGTCAGGGTACGTGCACGGCTTTCTAGAAAAACGAGGACCATCACGGATAACAGCAACAGTAACAAACAATTCTCAACTTTAAGTTTCCTCAGCATTTGGTAGGACTTGAAATTTCATTCAAATGGCCACAATTGAGATTTTTCTTTTAACGCTGAAACTCTCCTAAAACTGATTAACAGCTGTGAAAACGTCCTCTCAGCAACTTTTATTTGAGTGCATTATATATTTTATTCTATTTATTTATTTATTTATTTATTTTGCGTGGACTTAAATTTCATTGATAGAATTAACTTGTACTTCATTACCAACGGCAGACCAACAAAAGGTAGCTTATTTCTTAGGATTAAATTGTTTCAATTAAATTGCTTCAATTGTTCTTTTTATTTAGCTACTATGCCAGGGAATTCATTGAGAGAATCCCAGAGAAGAGATTGACTTCTCAGAAAATGGACTGCATTCACCACATGGTGAAAACCAAGTTGTTTGAAGATCAAGGTAGGCATTCACTTAAGCTGGCTACTTCAATGGTTTCACTACAAAGGATACAGCCGAAGAAAAAACTCACAAAAAAAGTGTAACACAAAGAAATAATTAGTACCATGTGAAAGTACTGCTGAAGAGGTTTCATTTCAATGGTCACATCATTGGATTTCGTCCACAGACTCAAAAGTCAGAACTACATACTAAATAAAGAGTACCATGAGAAAGTACTGCTGAAGAGGTTTCATTTGAATTGTAACACCATATGATTTCTTCCACAGACTCAAAAGTTAGAACTACATACTAAATAAATAGTACCATGTGAAAGTACTGCTGAACGGGTTTCATTTCAATGGTCACATCATTGGATTTCGTCCACAGACTCAAAAGTTAGAACTACCTACTAAATAAATAGTACCATGAGAAAGTACTGCTGAAGAGGTTTCATTTGAATGGTAACGCCATAGGATTACGTCTACAGACTCAAAAGTTAGAACTACTTAGTAAATAAATAGTACCATATGAAAGTACTGCTGAAGAGGTTTCATTTGTATGGTAACACCATAGGATTTCGTCAAAAGATTAAAAAGTTAGAGTTGTAACTGTAACGTTGTCTGGATAAAAGGGTTAATCAAGGTCATTTCTGAATCTAGTTTCTTGATATTCTCTTACTAATGCTGTTTTACCTTCAACTGCAGAATCAAGATTTGTTTTGCTTCCCATGGTTGTTGAACAGCTCAAAAATAAGATGACTGAAGTCGATGAAATGAAGGTGTGCATTGACATCCTGAACGATATCCTGATTACGCTGACAAGGAATGACGTGGTGAGTGAATTTAAGCTACGGTAAAACGTAGACAAAAGCGTGGACCTTGTCTTGCAACATTGCTTCAAAACGAGTTGGACAGTAATGTTGTACGTTTTACCAACCATGTTCAAAGCCTGTCTTGCAACAAATCAGGTTTCAAGTTGCGTGAATACAGACTTCTAGTGGATAAAATTACGCGGGAGTCACTCCAAACACGGGAATTAAGTTTGCCTTGGGTCGGTAGAACGCTAGCCTCCCACGCAGACGTTCTTAGGGGTTCGTCACGCGTGGGGCAGGAACGCGTAACGAACCCGTAAGAATCGATAAGAGTGTCTGCGTGGGAGGCTAGTAGAACGCGTAGTATGTACCAATTTGATGCAAAAGAAGAACTACTCTCTACGTTCTGCAAAAACTTTTCGCAACTTGCAACAACCTGATTTGTTGCAAGACACGTTTGACTTGTGGGTGGTAAAATGCGCAACATAGCATCTCAACTCGTTTTACAGCAATGTTGCAAAACAAGTTTCACGTTAATAATAGCGGCAGTTTTCCTGACGCAGACACTTTTAAAACAGGGTTGACTGTCGACTAACCACATGATCAAGGTAAAAGTTTATGAGAACCATGAAGATGATTGCAAAAGGGAAAATACTCCGATCTTTTAACAAACTCTCGCTACTAGTTCTCTAAGGAAGTGTCGGAGATCAGTGTGGAGAATTCGTATGTGGTACTATGACTGTGGTGATTGGGGCTTCATCACGACGGCAAATAAGTTGCGTTCAAGCACTGTGAACTGGCCACCAAATGAGAGAAATATAGAAATAACCGCTTAAAACAGAGACGGAAAATTTGCACAACAAAGTAAATAGAATCTTAGGCCTGTTTCAAACGTCGTGCTACTGCCGTGCTAAGCTGGCTCGACTGTAGCTCGACTGCAGCACGACACTAGCACGAATTGATTTCAGACGTCGAATTTAATTCAGTCGAATAGAATGGCTGTTGACGAAAACAAAATACAATAATAAAGAAACGGTTCAGCAAACTTTTAAATGTATTCTAATGCATTTGCAATTTATGAATTGAGTTCGGCACAACGGTAGCACGACTTGGTTTCAAACGTCGCGCTACTGCCGTGCTAAAGTCGAATTTAATTCGATCAATTGAGTTCGGCACGGCAGTAGCACGACGTTTGAAACGGGCCTTAAACACACGAAGGTGATTGCTTTTTGTTTATTTGTTTGTTTGTTTGTTTTTTTTAAACTGTTCATCCCTACGGTTTTTCAGAGTGTATCTTTGTTGTTTTTATCTCATCTGTCGTCAGATCTTTTATTTCCCTATGGTCCGTCCCTTCACAGGACACCTATATCAGACAGCACTTTCACTTGCACTTATCCCGTTGTCATGATGTCCGTTGGGGGGACACGGACCCTGTAACCGTTTCCCTCTATTTGACTTTGTTTTCAGATCTATAACATCTCTATGTACCCTGGGCGCCAGAGGTTTTTTTTTTCGCTAATTCCTGAGCTTTATCAAACAGTGCACACGGTTATTTCATCGTAGTTAGTGATGGGAGAATGATAAAAAAGAGGCCAGCTGGGAATGCTGGAGAGAAAGAAGGATGGCGCCCCTCACGTAGCGGTCAAGAGGCGCGTCTTAGATCGGGAACTATAAGGAAGGACCTGCCTGTGGGCAGAACACACACACAAATTTCGAGAAGGGACCTCTGGAGTCAGGGTTATCTCTATGCTGACCCCTGCTTAAGACGAACCCTTTGTGTAAATTGCAGTGTGTTGTTCCTGTCACTGTCACTGTCACTGTCACTGATACATATGAACCTATTAATTCCCTACGATAAAAGACTAAGGTCTTGGAAAAGAATCGCAGCTGTGTCAAAACGTCGCGTTCGAATGAAATTACACTACCTGCGGATCTTCATATGTTAAACCGTGTGTCACTAGCTTAAGTTATACGACAATACTGAAAAGGTACCTTAATCGGAGCGTGCTTTTTCTTTAGGGTGATACCCATGACGATGTTCTTCTATTGGTGACGTCACTGCTGCGTGTTGTGGTCAAAGCTGTGATTATGATGGACCGATCATTGGCTGTTGTGGTAAGCAACGTTCTTCTCTTTTTTAAATTTTTTTAGCACAATCCTAATTTGATGTAAAACTACTAACAAGCTACAAATATAAAAAAAATGCAACTAGGTACATTTGATTGATTTTCTGCCAGACCCTTCTTCCCGTTCCTCTGGCTTATAATGAGCATGTGGTGTAGTGGTAATGGAACGGCCCGACACGTAGAAGGTCCTGAGTTCGATTCCGGACTTCTTTTCTTTCCTTTTCCCTTTTTGTTTAGTTTTTGTTTTAAGTTATTGTAGCTTTGTTTTGTTTCTTTATATAGCGTAAGTTTTTTTTAATTTACAAATTTTCTTCCCTATTGCCTTAATTCCCTTTCTTCCTACTGTGTACTGTGTACTTCCTACCTCGCTACTACGCGAGGTGCTGCAATTCACGTATTTGTAGTTATAAAATGTAGTTGTGAAAACTCATGGCCCACTTTCGTGTTCCAAAAACCCTCACTTTCAAAATGAGGCCAAGTGCACAACCTTTTTTGTGAAAATGATTTTTTTTCCCATGAGAATGAAAAATCATTCGGGCTGAGCACTTAACCTCGTTTTGATGCAGAGGCTCGGGGGAACTCGGAAATGGCCTATTAAAGAGAGCTGTTGGGGCTGAATCAGAGGGATCTAAACGCTGATTAATTATTTCGATTTACGATGCAACCGGTAACCACTTATGAACGTAGTCGCTGGTAAACGACGCAAAATGCGTCATCTGAGCTGGCTTTCGGGTTAAAAGCTTGTCGTTTGTGTCAAAGTGTAGCTAGTGTCCTTAATGATTGTCCAAGAAATAAGAAAAAATAAATAAATAAGTAATATTTGAATTTGATACGTGTCCTGTGGTGCATGGGCTTTTGCCTCTCGCTTAGGTTACCTGTGCAATACTTCGTTGCCAATCTGATATGACTTTATTTGTTTGTTTCGTGCAAGGGTAATTACGTAGCATGTTTAATAGCCATGCTCCAGCTGATGGACGAGAAGCATTACCAAAAGTACGTGGCTCACTTCCCAACAGTCCAAGAATTGCTGGTGAGTTTTAATTCTTGGAATTTGGTTAGTTTTGGAATTACATCTGCTGAATGATCAGTGATCGCTTTCGTATGCATTGTTTTAAAGTTCTTCTTAAGGAAAATGCTCATAACATTTGTACTCAACGAAGGCGCGCCGTGGTTTGGGATGAAGGGCGGAGGGCGTGGTTAAGACCGCTTTCATGGCAAAATGGTTTTATGCAGTGGTATATAACTCAATGCATGTGAACATCTGTACTATTGTCCCTGACTTTCTTAAGCCTTGGTGTGATAGAAAATTGATGATGAATTTTAAGCCTGGTGAATACGCGAGAATACTTACTTGGTACTGGCCTCCTTTTTTAAGGTTTGATTATTTTCTCAAAACAACAACAACAACAAAAACCTCTTATGAACCAATCGTGTCGTTCTAAGGAAATCCCTTTTTCATTGTTATTTATTTACAGGATTTCCTCATGGAGATTTTCTTGCTCTTCCGTGAGTTTGTCAGCGACAATATTTTTCCAAAGGACTGGATGGTGATGACAATGGTTCAAAACAGGTTAGATGCGCTTATATCAAATGGCATATTCTTATATCAACTGCCAATATCCTTGCGATGTACGACGTAGGCCTTTTGCTATGGAGTAGGTCACGCTTAGCTACTGGGAATAACTGAAAGGGTCTACTAGGCTGATCCGCGGAGTGCTTAGGAGCAGTTTGTGTACACTTTCGGTTGTGATTTCTGTTTTTTCTCTTGTTTTGTAGCGTGATATTGAATGCCATCCAGTATTTTTCTGAGGCGATGCAGGAGCACTTTGGCGCTGGTGGAACTTTCGAAACGCAGGTCAGTTGCTGTCCTGTTCTGTAAGCGGCCGCTCTCCTTCTTTCACTTTTTCGTCTGTGTAGTGGGAACAATTTTCCGCATCAATTTTTCCATATTGTAGTTGGCTAGTCCTCGCTTGTTGCCACTGAACCCTCCATAAGGTGGACTTATTTCCAAGACGAACAGTTCTTGCTCTTCTTGGCAGGTATCTTAAAAAGATGTACAAAAACAATACTCGTCACATTTGTTGAAACACTTGCCACGTTACTCCCTCCCCAATGTTGATTCACATATCACCCATTTGCAAATATATGCGAACCTCAACACTGGAGAAGGAGAGAAGAAGTACACTCGGAAAAAAGTTAAATAAAGTGGTTGAGAGGGCGTCAGATGGAAAATCCTCAGTTTCAGTCTAGTGTTACAACGAAAGTTGACGAGTGTTGTAGCTGTGCACCTTTTTTATTATTCACGTGGAGTTGATGTGTTCGTCTGTGTCTTGCCACGTAAAGACGTGTGAAGAAAACATGAAGCTACGATTAAAGTTTTACTAACACAAGAAATACAAATTTCAAAGAAAAAAAACCGAATAAGACTGAATTGACCTACCCATTCTGTTCTTGTATCGTATGTGGGCTTTTAATTTGTTATTCTTGACTTTTTCTTTCCTTATGAACCAGTTGTGGAACAATTTTTTCCATCTGGCAGTGGCATTTGTGACGCAAGAATCTTTACAGCTGGAAAACTTCAGCACCACCAAACAAGACAAAATCTTGGAAAAGTAAGTGGCGTAGATGGCAAACGCACGGAAAAATGGAATCTGTTAACCAGATGACAAAAATTTATCTTGAACAAATGATAATTTCCTTATCAATAAATAACATTTTAATCTGACGAGAAGTAGCTTTGCGATACAGCCATCTCTCCTCGCTCCTTGCCGCTAGGGGGGAGGGGCGTTTGCGCTTCGGCCCCAAAACTTCCATATTGATGACTTAGATTGGGCTTGAATGTGGTCAACGAGCGAAGATTGGTCGACATTGTAATTATAAGCTGTTATTTACGAATGACAGACAATAGACAAAAGTCAGAAGGATCAAATGTATTATAGTTGCACCCCGCCTTACGGCCACCTCGGTAATACGGCCAATTTTTTTTACCCATTGGTGACCATACTTTAGGGACGGGCCAGGCAACGGAGACTATCTACTGTATGAAAACCAGGCTCACGAAGGAATATAATTGGCCAGTTTCGAATGATCAAATTCATACTTAGCTCCCAGGAAAGGGAATTAAAAAAACAAGAACAAAAGAAGTACAAAACAATACAAAAAAGAAACGAATTATTAGCCTGTTCCAGGCGAGTAGGTAGTAAAGAGCGCCGCACAAAGTAAAAAAACAAAGCGAGAAAAACAGAGGGGGGACAAGAAGAGCTAATGAGTTTTAATCCTGAATGGCAAAGTGATTTCGTTTTCGTTTTCGTTTTTTTTTTTTCTTGACACCTTATAGCTTCGGAACCAAGTATGAATTTTCATGATTCGAAACAGACCTATTACAAATAACATTTCACGATTATTATAGGTATGCGGACATGCGTATGATTATTGGACTTAAGATCAGCGAGATGTGGCATTTGTTGGGTGAGTCGCTCGCGTATATTTTCCGTTTTACATGTGGCCAATGATGTAATGATTGTCTTGTCAGGAGCGTTGTACAAAATAGAATCTGAATTCCATTGCCACTACTATTAGGCGAAAAAGGGAGGCGGAGTGGTGAGAGCGCTCTCCTCCCACCAATTTGGCCCGGGTTGTTGGTTCTCCCCCTTGCACTGAGAGGTTTTTCTCCTAGTACTCCGGTTCTCCCCTCTCCTCAAAAACCAACACTTGCAAATTCTAATTCGATCTGGGACGCACGGACACGTTTAAACGAGTTCCTAAGAACTCCTTAATACTTGGTGGGTAAACAAAATACGTCGAAATTCCAAAAAGCACATTTTCTAAGGAAAGACGAATTCATTGATTTGTCTACCACAAAGTTTCAAAAGCTGGTGTTTCAAGTACAGTCCTTTTAGACTGCTTCCAGTCCCTCTTTTGTGTTAGATCCGTTGAGTTCTTAGACTGTTAGCGCGTAGGGACAAAAAACGCTTGTAGCCTTCCTCCTCGGGTTTGCGCCCTCATTTCTGGCGGCTCGTGGCTTCGCTTGCCCGCGCGTTTACCCCAGTGAGTTTGAAGAAAATAGGAGACTGCTCGTAGTCTACAAGCCCTTAAATCTGAGTCCGGGCTTTTGCTTCAAGCACTGGCTCTTGAGCAGCTTATTTATCAACTCAGTTGATGAAACCTGACTTTTGAGTTTTTCGCTGAGTTAGGCGTGGCGAAGTCATTTTTTTTTTTTCGTTTTAAAATTCACACTGAGTGCTTTATCTTTTTCCGATAGTCAGATGAAAATTGTTAAACAGGTCTTTGTTCTATGTCGCAGGTGACCACAAGTCGTATTTCATCCCTGGCTTAGTTGGACCGTTTCTAGAGATGACGTTGATTCCACACAGCGGTGAGCCAAACTGTTGATGTAAAACTCACAGTTTTGTCTCGCTATTGATAAAGCCTTTAATCATCATAATATGGCTGAATCCGCGAGCGGGCAAGGTGAAGCGAATCCTGCGATCTGAGTGGCTGCCCGAGCGGAGAAGATGGGCCCGGCCCGTCTTTCCCGCTTGGAATTTTTCGCGTTAGTCCCGAAAGAAAAGGTTATCTTTTTGGCCATACAATAATGAAAATGTCAAAATGGCTGGATGCTGGCCTTGTTCTTTTTTGTGTTTTTATTAAACTCAACTACGAGGGTCCCCAGTAGGTTTCTCTGGATTCGGGATTATAAAACAAGATCGGGCAAGAATCGGGATTGAAACTATGCCCGTGAGGTGGGATGCCAAAAATAACCCCCGGGATTACGGGATTGCACGAAATGCTGGGTCGGGATTACGGGATTGAAGAACTTTATTGTGGACCTTCGACTACATCTTTGTTCATAAAAACGTGCAGAAGACCTCGACCAATATCCAGCCACCTTGACCTCACGCTTGGTCAATAGCGCGGTTATGCTGTCATACTCTTGATGTAACCTCATATTAGTGTCTTACTATAGATTTTACCCCCATGATACTGTTATACTGTTGATTTAACCTCATTATACCATCCGGCTATTGTTCTAACTTCGGATCTGTAAGTCTGAATAGGCCATTTCCACTAAAAGGTCATGTGGCATCACTTTTATGAAAATGAAAGTCCTATGATTTTGCTTTAAAAAAATGACTAGTGGGTCATATCTTAAACAAAATGATATTGATTTCAAACCCGTGTCATTTTCTTAAAATGAGCAAGTTCGTAGCTGGTCACTTGACCAAAATGTGATTTTTGAAACTACGAATTACCTCTTTCTGAACAGAAATTTTGCACTTAAACTTCAAGGAAATTGTTGAAAAGATGATGTGATAACGTTTACAGCAGATCTGAGCGTAACTATAAAAAGTTTAACAAGATACAAGCAAAAATTAGTTTTGGCGGCCGTGTTGGAGGGCAAGAGTATACGCTCCAACATGGCGAACAATACAAATCATACTACTTTGTTGAAAAATCAAATTGCCATATAATATCTCCCTTTAATGCGTTTCCTGTCAAATTTTGGGTGTAAGATAATTTTTGTGCGCCCTGTCAATTTCTGTCATCAACAGGATTCCAAGTCACTGTTTAAAGGAAGCATTGGTCACGTGACCTCTTAGTGCAAGTGGCCTATTGAAGCCTTGCCATAGTGTTACCTTGAACTCAGTGCCATTTTATCCTCTCCAACCGTGAAGGCCTCCTTGGCCGTTGTGCACCTCTACCGTCCACTTGTCCTTCCGAATTGTTTGGACAAAAAAATATTGGGATCATTTTAGGTTTCTGGGAAACTACCCACCTACCCCTCCGCTAAGGCAACATTTTTCCCGAAGTGAGAAGTAAGTGTTAATGTTGGCTTAGGGGAGGGGTAGGTGGGCAGTTTCCCAGAAACCTACCGTAAATTGATCCGAATGTTGTCTTGTGAGTCTCTATTCATACCAACCTTTCCTACTGTCCGTTTTCCCTGATACAGAGCTTCGTCGTGCCACAATTCCCATTTTCTTCGACATGATCCAGTGCGAGTATGCTAACAAAGGAAATTTCACCTCGGTAAGTATTTACTATTGGTCTCGTCTGGTTTTTCAGTTTCCTTATAGAATCACCCTTTGTTGGATAAGCGTTTTATCACATGTCGAAAAGAATACAGTCAATCCGAGGGCGGTAACGCTGTTGCTAGCAAAGTGTGAACAAGTATAGTGGAACCCCGTTAGTACGGTCACCAATGGGCCAAAAACAATTGGCTGTATTAACGAGGTTTTTTTTTACAAGAAAATGTATGGCGGTTTTTGCCAGGCAGGCAAAAAGTAATGACGAGGTGTCCGTATTACCGAGCTGGCCGTAAGGCGGGGTTTCACCGTATTGTCATACTTCTTCTCACTGAGGACACCTCTATGATAGGGACACGACTCTGTTATTCATAGCCCCGTCTATTTGTAAACAATTTGTTTTCTTCAGTTGTAAGCTTTCAGTTGTGGCGTATTATGATACGTTTCATATTGCCCGGATTTAAGCACGTGCATTTGATTCACTAAAGATGTGAGCTTCGAGCGAGCTAGTTGTGTTTTGCTTGCGTCGCCGTTTACAGTTTGCTTGTTTTGTTAGTTTTCGTTGTTCTCTTAACCACAGAACATTTCATAGTGTCAGAAGTGCGATTGGAACCCACGCCTCCACTCGGAGACCAGAGTTTACCTTGAATCACGGCAACTACTCTAATCATAGCTCTGGAACTTCTCATCCCCAAACAGTATACTTTAAGGTCCTTCTCAATTAGTTTTGTGATAAAGGTGGTTCTGCGTTTCCTAATCAGCAAGTTTTAGCTTTCCCCTCACCCCAAACCCCTTACCCTGGGCGCCCGTGTTTAGCATTGTCAAGACTATCGGATTAAGTGGATTAGCTTATAAACTAGCGAGTGTGTGTTACCTTAAACAGGTTGAAAGTGAGATCATAAGCAAATTGGATGTGCTTGTCGAGGGTGGCAAAGGTGACGCACAATACAAGGATCTCTTCTATAAGATGTAAGTCATTGCACTTGTACATCAGCTACTTAACCCCTTGCATATTCCGCATATACTCCTGATACTTACTCAACAGGACGACCTGTGTGACAGTAATTATGTTTGAAACAATTAAAGTTTCCACCAAATTTCATCTCGATCCTTTAAACAGATCTTTTTGAAAACGTCTAGAGTACAGTATTTATGTTAGGTGAGATCGCGACAAAACACGCAAGTAATTGTCCTGGATCTCACCCACCTCCTCTGATTATAGCTGTCCCTTGCACATCACGCAGTTCTCATTAACAAGCTCCTTTGTTGCATCCCTCTAGTCTTTCGGAGATGTTCAACCCCATGCCCCCGCAGTTCAAAGAGGATGGTGTCAGATTTGTGGGCCTCATCACTAAACTCATGGAGAGACTGTTGGACTACAGGACTGTGGTACTTGGCGATGACAACATCGACAATCGGATGAGTTGCACTGTTAACGTGTTGGTAAGCAAGTCGTTATTCTTCCTTGGACACCCGTTAATGGGAATATGTTGCAACGAGGGCATCAGGCCACAAAAAAAGTCAGTTCCGATATCAAAACTCAAGGAAAACCCAAATTTGATTTTGCCAATTATTGTTCTTAAAACTTACGAGTGACACTGAAATGCGAAAGTACTGCAGAAAAATTTTCTTTATAGTCACGTGGTAGGATTTCATACAGACTCAACTTGGTGGAATTATAATCTTTTTCTTTGGTAAGACTGCGATTCAGTTTTTTTTTGTCCGCTTCTCAAATAAACGCCAGTTAAAATTTGGAAGGACGACTAAGTCCTCAGGGTTTACAGATACTGATGAGTAATATTAATCATAACTTTCTTTAAACCTTTTTTTGGAGATAATCAAAGTTAGTGCTGCAAAATGAACATTTGCTCTTGAAAGTTTGGTCCGCACTGTAAGATATGGACCGCAAATTGACTAATGGCATCTTTGGTTCGCCCTGTAACATATGGACCGCAAAATGACCAATGGCATTTTGGTTCGCACTGTATGTTATGGACCGCAAATTGACCGATGCTAGGGCGACAACAGACTTAGCCATATAATAGCGGAGCTCTCGCGCGCGCGAAGCGCGCGCCTGCGGAGCACCATGGGTAAGTAAATCTAGCCATCCCAGAAAATTTGGTAATCACGTGACCGTACACCGACCGCCTCCGACCGTCCGTCCGCACCATAGGCATACCGATGTAACATTACTCAATCAACAGGTATGGCAACTCGATGTTATTTTGGCGGAAAATCGCATAGCCACCCTCGTCACAACTAAAGAGGAAATAAGGACGAAAACGGAAAGCGGAATTGTTTCTGTATCCGTGTTGTCTAAAGTAGCTTAGATTAATTCTCATGCCCACAAATTTGGAATATAGAGCAAGAGAAAGACAGAAAAAAAGAGAAAGTAGGCGGCAGGCCAGCGAAGCTCAACGATAAAAAGGGCTACAGAGATCTAGAGATTTAAAAAAAGGAGACATTTTTTTTGTTGGAAGAACAACATGAAAATTTTGTAACGGCGGTGACAACGTGAGAAATGCTAGCGGCCACCAATGCAAGGTGAAAATGAGCGGCTTTACAAAAAATAAAAGTGAACGAGAACACGTACGACATTTCCTCCAAAAAACGAGTAACTAAGAAATTGCTGAAGTTTCACGTTGTAGTCGTGCAAAACAACGGCAAAGAAATGTACAAAAAAAGTGTGCTAATTGGACCTATTGTTGTTTTTTTACAGTTCTCGTTGCCTTCGCCGCTTAGCATTACACGATTTCATTTTTTGTTTGAACAAACTTTAAATATTATCGAGAGCTTTGCTTTTAGTCCTGGCTAAATCTATATATTAAGCATAATACATTTAATGGTACAACTGATTTCGTGCTTTAACTTATCTTTGTCAAAAATTATTGGGACACACCCTGAAGTATCTCTTTTTCTATTACAGAATTTTTACAACGAAATCAAAAAGGACGAAATGTATGATAGGTAAGTCCTCACGTTTACCGATAGAATGAGAGAGTTAGGGATCCTTATTAAAACTGAGGAACCAGGTGCAAGGCTTGTTCAATTGGGCAAACTATAACATCCGAACATTCTCTACTGTGAACAGGGTCAAGAAGGTCTACAGGTGTAGCAAAGGATAGAAAAAGAAACTTTCTAATCCTTTTTACATAATCACTCTTATTGTTTCTCACTAATTTTGCTGATTAAATCACAAAATGTACTACACGCGAAAATAAGAACAAGTGAAAACAGAAATCGCAAAATTTGACATGATAATATTTGATAAATAATACAACTAGTACTGATTCTTACCGCAGTCTCAGCCTATAAAAAAAATAAATAAAACAAGCAAACAAACAAAAACTCAACGATGCTTGGAGTCGCTTGACGATCCCTCTACCCTAGTCTTGCTACAAGTTTCCTTGTTAGCGGAGCGAGCTTTTAAGGCTTCGAAATGGCCAAGCAAGCGACAGAGCCGCGAAAGGTCGTCCTTCGTCCCGCGCCATATTAAATCGGACGAATGACTTTTATGAAAGTCTACTTCTCCCTCGGTGTACATATTAACCACTGTTTTGTTGACCAGGTACGTGTACAAATTGTGTGACCTTCATCTAAGTGTCGAGAACTACACTGAAGCTGCCTTCACGCTTCTGAGAAGAGCAGATGATCTTCAGGTGAGAGAACATTTTACGTTATGAAAGTAACGAACACATGAGTTTTTGCGCACGCGAGCCTGCTCAAACGTTTCAATTGTGACTTTTATTTCCCTTATGGCTGATCTAATTAGACCAGTTTCAAACGTCGTGCTATTGTCGTGGCGAACTCAGTTGGTCGATTTAAATTAGGCATTAACACGGCAGTTGTACGACGTTCGAAGCGCTTCTTCCTGTTACCCACTCTTGCTGCCGCCGGGTAGCATGGCAAGCTTTGCCGTGCTCAAGGCAGTACCACAACGTTGGTTTCAAACGTCGTGCTACTGCTATGGTAATAGTAACTAATGGACTGTAAATACCTTCTAATACATTTTAACAGTTCGTTACACCGGATTTTGAGTTTTGTCCCGCAATAGCTGTTTTATTCGACTGAACTAAATTCGATTCCTGAAACCAGGTAGTGTTACTATCTTGCTGAAGTCGGGAAGAAGTCGAGACAGCTTAGCAAGGCAGTAGTAGCACGAAGATTGAAGCGAGAAAATGCTTTTGAAAAAAGAAAAAGAAACCCGAGTTAAATTTAACCCTGGGTTAAGCGCTAATCGGACTTCGAACAACTGGGCCCTGGAAAAGAGACTGCCAAATTCAAACATGGACTGTCCTCCACTTACTGAAAGCAACATTGCCGTTCCCTTAGTTTAAACGTCTTCTGTTGTATTTGTTGTTTCAGTGGACTGATGAGACAGTTTTTTCAAGCCAACAAAAGTACCGTGCCAGCACCCAGCGACAACTGAAAGAAATGCTTTACAAGGACTGCATTGATTACTTTGATAAAGGAAAAGTAAGCCTTTTTGAAACCGTAGCCTGTCCACATTCCTTTTTTTTTTCTCATACACCCACCCCCATTCTCTTGTGCGCAAACCGTTAATAATCCTCTCACGGTATTTAACTTCATGCCCACTTAAAATTTGAACCACAACACTTCTATTCACATAATTCGTGAAAATTCTTCCTTCCAGTCTCATCTGCGAGTTGAACGAGTCTGCGTCTGTCATCATAAATTTCTTATCCTTAGCCACGCGTCGCATCTCCTCGTAGATTGGGTGTCTTCCCGCGCTGTCGTGTGTCGTTCGCTCTGCATGTTATCTTAGAAAAATAAGAAACAACTTCTCGTTTAAAAAGTGAGAACAAAATAATTACAGTGATTCAAGGAGGATGATTGTAACAGTTTCTGCAAGCAAGTAGTAAATGTTGCTTGTTAGAAAAGTCAAATAAAGTGCTTGGATCCTGTTTTTGTAAAAAAAAAAAACTTTAAAAGGTATATTTTAGATGTTGTTTTAGATGTAAAGAGTTATAATAATTTTATCACAACGTTCTTCTTAGTGCTGGGAATACGCAATCAAGCTGTGCAAAGACCTCGCCAACCAATATGAGTATGACACGTTTGATTTTATTCAACTAAGCAAGATTTTGGTGAGTTTACTGATTGGTCTCTTTATACTGTTCTATTGATTCTTTAACCCTGGATTCGATATAATCGCTAGAATTATTATGATCACCGAACTCAAAACTTAGCCATTCTTCTTTTAGCACTGACTTCCATTTCAGTGATGACTGTGATCCACTCGATCGTTGAAAAGTTGTTTCCTTTTAATCGATGCTGTTGCTGAACTTTATCTCTGTCCCGCGGTGTGATTCTAGCAGCCACAATGATCTTAGCGCGGAACATATGGTCTCAGTTAATATTATCAATCGTTTAAACTGGTTGACCATTTTAATTGAGGTGGCCCATCCCATAATACATCCCATAATAGTACGTAGTTATCCCATAGTGCGATCGACCGCTCACTTAGTCTCAAACGCCACCTCAAAATAGTGCTCCTGGAGGTTTTAGACGTGATATGGACTGGATTGACTTTTCTGCTGACCGTCTATCAAATTCCCAAAATCATTGGTGGTATAATGGTTATTACCTTGATTCTTGTAAAAGGAGCACCTAAAAAAGGTCTCCTTATTCAAAGAAGTAAGAAAGTGGCTTTTGTACTTTATTTCTCAATCATTTTGTACTTTATTTCTCAATCAATACATTTACAGGAAAAACAAGCCGGGTTTTATGACAATATCATCAAAGTTATCCGCGGAGAGCCTGAGTACTTCAAAGCTGCCTTTTATGGACTTGGCTTCCCGACATTCCTCAGAGTAAGTATTAAAAAAAAAAATGACTCTCCCTCAGTCGCCTCTCTTGTTTTTCATTTGAAATATTTACGAGGGAAGCGCGTAGGAGGTGCGCGTGGGGAGCGATAACGTGTTAGTCTCCCGCGACCGATCCGCAATCGCGTACAAATGATAAGAGACGACTGGGTACGTCTCAGTGAACAGTAAAATCTTACCTCAACGCGAATATAGAGAACCAAGTTGCCGTTACGTATTTATTGTTTATTTATTTATTTATTCATATATTTATTTATTTAATATTCCCTCGATTCGCCTTGAGTATTTCGTAAGGAGGTAGGTTCCTCTCGTATAGAGCTTTCCCTACCTCATGTTTTCTTTATCTGTTTTACTTCGAATACGAAAATCTTAAGACATAGAACCGTCAGACGGCCAGGTATTATTGAATATATCAGAAGTCTTAAATCTTGAACCACAGTAAGTAAACAGCAGTTACTCTTGTACCACAGCAAGTGAACATCGGTTACTGTGTTTGCTATGCACAGCCTTGTGTTTTCACGAAGTCTGATAATACTGCTGGTAGTCTTAGCTTAATTCTCTTTTATGGGTTCTTTTATTTCTTATCCTTTACTTAACTCAACACCAATTATCGTGCAAACGCCTGCTCCAAAACTTTTTAATTTGGTACCAGAGTAAGTGCGCTCTTGTTCCTTTGTAGAACAAAGTCTTCGTGTACCGTGGCAAAGAGTACGAGAAAATTGCTGAATTTATTGTTCGCCTCCAAAGCCAGTACCCTAGTGCACAGGTAGGGAATGAAATTCAAACTGAACAACTTAAAATTAATTTATGCGTTCTGGTTTTGAAAACCACCGGCCGTTCTAGTGGTAAATAAATATCTCTTAGAACATGGAAGATCTGATATTTCTAGCCTGCTTTATTTTCAGCCTGCATCTGTTGGAATTGTTGTAAAATGCCGGCGTTTTGATTGGGCAAACAACTTACCTGCCCAACATTCTTAGACTCCTTTAGTCTTCTGAGGAGTTGTTTGCCTGCGGAGGGGGGGGACTTGGGGTCATAGTGCTCCGATCAAAGACTGATGATGAGTTGCACACGGTATAGCTCGCGCAGATGACAACAACACTCACCCCATTTCCCTACTATTTGTTAACAAATTCAAAAGCATTTCTCTTTAGATTACATTACCAAACGCATGGTAAATGTTTAAGAGTATACTATTGAGTTATAGTTGCACTCGGGAGGATTGCTAAGCTCGCAAGAACTCCGGCAGTTTAGTTTATTGACGTCATCAGCATGCTCGATGGGAATATCACGCTCGCGCTATTGAATTTCGTTGGCCGTATATTCTAGCTGTGTTGTAACATGTTTTATTTATCATGCTGAATTGGTCCTTTAATATGTATTTGGTGCTTTTTTTAATTGGCCCACTTTCTGCCGGATGATGATAGTCCACTTGTTTTTAAAATGCGGGTGTTTGCTGTGCAAACAAGCTCTTCAACTTTTTCCCTTGTTTTTGCCCAAGTTGTACAGCATATCATTTTACTTAACGAAACGCTCCTTCACTTCCTCGCCGCTTGTAGTGACTACACTGTTGTCTAGCCTCATCTGTTTGTTGGTATTTTTTTGCTCACCATAACAGTGTTTTGTTTTATGGTGTTAGATTCTCAAGATGAAGGATGCAATTACCAACGACATCAAGCATTCTCAGCAACAGTGTATCCTTGCATTGTGATCGTAGAATATGATAGCCTGTTACAAGCAATCAGATAGTGGATTTGTTGTAATAGTAATAATTTTTACGGGCTCACCCCCAAATTTGTTTTGTTTTATGGTGCGAGAGAAAATTTGGGCAAAGAGTTTTTAAAGACGTCTCCTTGTTTATTTAATTTAATTATTTTGAAGACCTGAATAAAACCAAAGTCGGCGTAATAATCCAGTTACATTACAGTGGTTGCCTAGCATGTGATGAGTAATTTACAGATTTGCAGTTTTTTAATGTTGGGAACTATACTGCACTGCACTAGCTGGAATGGGCTATTTCCAGTCGTGAATTGCTTAAAATAAAGTGGATAATTTCTAGAATCATCTCCACGAAGAACAGTGTATGGCAGATAGCATCAGCAATGGGTATGAAAATGAAGAAGTGGCTGACTACTGAATTGTCAGTTTGAATTAGTATAGCGAGAAGAATCTTAATTCTTTTAAAAAATCTATTGAGCGGTTCCATGAAATTATTCCCTAATTTGTCAAAGTAGACCGAAATGTTTACAAAACCGCTAACAAGAGTGCCTCGATGACTAATCAAATCCTTCTTTCGATTCTAGCAATCAAGCAGAGCTATCTCCACGGTCTTTCACACATGTTTTTAAAAAGATTAAAACTACTATGAGGTGAAAATGCATGTCAAACGCGCGTCGTTTTGTACAGATAACGGCCAAACATCAAGATTTTCCTTTTCTTACCGTATTTCTAATAATAAAATCTTCATTCCAAAATATCAACCGTATTGGAGAAAAATGCTCCTGTGAACGATTTTGTAAGGTTCTCCATGCCGAGAATCATTGCTGAAGTAAAATAGGTAATGGGGTCATTTCGTTGCTATGACAGCTCCAATGTCATTGCAACCCTGATGATGACAAATTTTCATCTTAATACAACTGATGTCGCAATTTTTCCAAATGTTTGTTTATGGCGACGTAGTTTATGTTCAGACTTGGTATTGACCCTGAAAAACTGTATCGAGCCACCTTCATATGCCAGGACGGCCTATGTTGTTGCAATATGGCCCTCATTTCTTTTCGACTCTTTCATAAAAATTTGGGCAACTTGCGAGATTTTTTTGGGCAAATGGTTTACCGCCCCCCCTGGCAAAAAATTTCCCGTACGCCTATGGTAATAATAAGTAAAAAGTTAAGAACTAAAAACTTAACTTATACAAGCTACAGGGTAAAAATGTTAAAATGTCAGATAGATTACAATATTAAAAGCTATAAAATATCTAAAATGTACAACTTTAAATGTTCTGTTTAAAAAGAAGAAGAGAGTTAATTTCTTTAAAAGATGCGTCTAAAATGTTCCATTCCTTAGCGCATTGATGAAAACGTCTCTGCTTTCCGTAATTCCTTTCAACGAGAGGAAGACGGAAATCGTTCCTTCATGTTATGATTGATATGAACCGATCAGAAATCTGTGAAGTACGCGAACACAGCTGCATCTCATTCCCCTCCTTATGCTACGACCAAAGGGCCGTGCGAATCGATCAGAAGGCAGGCGGCTGTGTTCGGACTCCAAATGTGTAACTTCTATGACTGTAAACGAAAATTCTCAAAAAACACGATCTTCGTTAAATTTTGGGAACGTTCTGTGCATTCGTGAGAGTTACAACTAAATTTAGTCCTATCATTATCATTCTCATTATTATCATTTTTTAAAATACTGAATAAACATTTGTCGATCTTTATTTACATTCCTAGCCGCAGCTTTCAGTTTTTTACTTGTATTCTTCTTGACGCATTTAAGTCCTCCAAATAAACAGGGTTGAGCCTGTCCCTGTAGAAAGACGAAAGTTTCAAGGGAAGAACGTTTTGGAACAGATAACAAAGTATTTGTGATTTAATATTTTGCCTACGTTTTTTTCCAGACCTTTGAAATGATTTTTAAGGAGGTTCATTGCATTTTCTTGCTTTTCTTTTAGATTCTACGAAGTAAACAACGTGAATAAATTCCAGTTTTCGAGAGCAGTACATAAGGGAGAAGTGAACAAGGAAAATGAATTCTCGGTGAGACGTTTTTCAATGCAATTGATACTTCTCGTGGGATAGTTAACTATTTCATTCTCAACAGTCTTATTTTTGAAGAAAACAACAAAAAATAAGTAAAACCGGAAGTTTGTCTTCGACTGAAGTTCTACTTCCCGTTTTCTTGTACTTTGCGGTGTAGCCGTATTTTCAACCTCATTGAAGAGATTAAGGGTCACGTTTACGACAGACGGCAAACGTCAGATTCAAGTTGACATTAAGCGGAAAATTAGCAGATAAAAACCTGGTCACGTGGTACAATTTTACGTTTGCCGTTTAGCGTAAGCGTGACTCTTAATCTCTCTATTCCCAGAATCTTTCCTCTTTCTACCCCCTTTCGCTGTCCCCCTCGAGGAGGGAGGGAGGGAGGGAGCGGGACGGGGTAAAAAAGGAGAAACCCTTGAAGCGGCGTTTGTGAACATAGAGTGATTGGGATTTAGTAAAAACAACGAGTCATTCACCATCTTTACATTGCCCATATTATACGTTGTTTGTCCCCTAAAAATTTCGCATCTCATAACCATTGTTTTCAAATTCTCCTAAATACAGTCGTCACCAAGAGAAATTGAAGACGATGGGGGTAAACAAGACCTATTATAGGCAATGTGAAAATGGTGAATAGCGTGGGTATTAGTGGCCATTAGGGAGAGGAATACACAGTGGTTATGCGGTCAACGCTTGACCTGAGCGAGTCAAAGCAATCGCGCGCCCAAAATCACGTGCCTTGCATTCTTATTACGCGTTGTCTTCACTAGCTTATTCCGATTAACTTAGCCTGCGAACAAGCTTTCTTGGGCTCAAGTCAAGAGACGAAAATGGATGGCTGTTTTTGTTATTGAAAGGGCAAGGTCGCGCTGCCTATTTTGAGGCAATTCTAGCGCTAACGGAACCAACCGATCACAGAATTGGCTGAAATTTCAACGTTATTGTAAAAGTAATTGTTTCGAATAGTAGAAGAAAACAAACGAAATTCAGAAAAGCCCAAAAAGAAAGCTTGGAAGGCCAAACCTGAAAAGCGGCCTACCTATTTGCTTGCAGGCCACTGTGCCCTAATGCTTAGGAATATTAATATTATTTGTTATGTGATGATAATATCGTCGTTTTGTTTTGGCTTTGTTTGTTTGTTTTCTTTTTTTTTACGAATTTGTAGCTTAAAACTTGCTGTGTGTGAACGAAAAAGGGCAAAATCACTAAAAAAAATTGACTTCATCCTTTAATTACATAACTACACGACTGCTCCTCTTGTTAAGCACAACAAACAATTCTGCTTGTCAATTAAAGATTACTAAAATACTAGTACGGTGCTAGAGCAATTGTTTAGTGTGGTGAATATGTTTTTAGTTAAGCTTTTTTTTACGATTTCTTGAAGACATTGTGGCTGGAAAGGACAACAATATACACCAAGTTCACATTCCCTGGGATTCTATGCTGGTTCGAAGCAACCGCAATCGACACGGTTAGTTTAACCTGATCATTATTTAAAGTCTATATAGCCTCGTTCAGACCAGGTTTTAAACATATTTAAATGTTCTATAGTTCAAGTAAAGGGATTCATTGTACCATGTACTTCGTTTGTTTATGAACAGGTAGTAAGGTTGGCTGGTTTGAAATTATGTGAGTCTGAGGGCCTGTTTACATGGAGTGGGGGACCCCGGTCTAGTGGGGTTGGTTTCTTTTGTTTTCACGCTCTGTGGGACACAAAACAAAAGAAACCTACCACACTAGACCGGGGTCCCCCGCTCCATGTAAACAGGGTCTGAGTAAAACTTTTTAATGGAAAGCTGTTGAGTGCTAATCTCTTGTGGTCTGCCGTGTATTGTTTTAAGGATCTTTTAAAAAATTTGTCAAGCTCTTTGAAATAATAATAATACTAATTATTATTATTATTTACCCTCGGCAGTATTGATAGCACTAATGCTAGTGGAACCGAGTAAAGCCCAGAAACAAATCATTTAAATCAAACTTGTCAGGGTTAAGAATCCCAACTGGCCGGAGGCAAACCATTTGGGTATTTACAAGCATGGACAAAGGGTTTGAACTCAGGACTACAGTGAACAAATCAAGTGAGCGGTCAGGGCGTGACTTCAACTCGGGGCCTCCGAATTGCAAGTCCAGCAATCTAACCCGCCGCGCTGCTTCCGTTAAAATACCTTAACCCTTAATCCACAAGATCAATGATCATATTCTCCACAGTGTTTTTGACACGTTTTGTATAGTTCTAGGGAGGAGAATTTGTTTTAACGTCAAGGTACAGTAAAAGCCCGCCAGTAAGTAACCGGTTTTTAAGAACCTGTTAGGCTAAAATTTGTCAGTTAGGCGCCCTCCATACAAGTACCCCTTTAGCCTAAAATTTGAAACAGTTGCTTACTTTCTAAAATCTAAAAATATTCCATACACCTCGGCAAATAAGATAAGAAGTATCTTATTGTCCCACATGCAGTTCAGCGCAATGTGCTGGTAGGCAGATTTTAAAAAAGGAATAAGCTGAATACCACTAAATACTCTTAGCTACAATGTATTTTTTCATCAGAAAATAAGAACCTATTTAGGAACCTGAATAGCCTAAATTTGTGCTGCTAACCTGGGAAAATGCAGACTCTTACTGGCGAGTTTTTACTAGTGATCTTTTCTTTTTTTTTCTTTTTTTTTCTTTTTTCAAGACCTTTGTGTTTTGTGAAGCAATAATTATTAAAAGGAGGAATTAGATACTGGTTGCTGAAAAGAATCCTCTTGTGATTTTTTAGGAAGAACTCAGCCCCGTGCAGAATGCTTTAGAGACCATGGAGTCAACCAATAAACAGCTTCGAGCGATAATCGCTCGACACAAGGTTGATCCAAATTTAAACGTGAACCCACTGAGCATGAAGCTGCAAGGAATAATTGACGCTGCTGTCATGGGAGGAGTCAGTAACTATGAAAAGGTGAGATACGTACGTGTGCCCCTACCATCCCTCCTGAGGAATCATTTGCAACCTGCCGGTTTGGGATAAGATTAAGGAGCTTAAAGCAATAGGTTTAGATTGGCGAAACAACAACTCTGCACGTGCAGTACGCATTTTTCTTTGCTGCCGGTCACTGCCTTACTACGACGTGAAAATGGCTAATTCAGCTCACGTTTTATGGAGGACGTGAACCCAAGACAACGACTTTCTTTATCTTCTTTTTCTTTTCTTCTTCTTGTTTTGGGGATGGTGGTGTTGATGGTGATTAGGGAGCTAAAGCAACGACGACAGCGACGGTCACCAAAACGTCACTAAAAAGTGATTTCGCGCTGCTTCAATCTTTATCGCGCTTATTCCATCTCGTTGAATTTGTCGAATGTTGGCAATTTTTTTCTACAGTTGAGTTCTTAAAGACTGCATAAAAGTTAATTCCACTGCAATTCTGTTCGAAACCTCATCAAGGTATGCTGTTGGAAGCTCTTCCCCTTGCAAAGGCAAAATTACTTTCGTAGCAGTATATCATTTCAAAGTTGATCAAGGTTTGTAATGTTAGTTATTTAATTGTACACTACTTGTAAGTGTACACTATCTCACGCGTGTTTTGATTTTATCGCAGGCTTTTCTGACCCCAGCGTTTGTCAAAGAGAATCCTGATAGTGCGGATTACGTGGAGAGGCTTAAGAGTTCACTTGTTGAACAGGTGAGAATTGAAGGGTGATTTACACATACTACTACTAATGCTCAGTTTTGGGCACAATACCCATGCTTAGTTGTAATTGCAATACTAATCGCTGGCAATGCTAAGCTTTATCCACAACACCAATGGATTTATGTATTGTATACAGTCAACTGTACTTGAAGGCTACGCTCTCACGGCGGTACCGGACGAATTTACGACCGGTTGGAAAAGTGTGGCCGGACACTTTGTTCACACGGGACCGTTAAATAGTTTCGCTCTGTTCACAAAAATGTTTGAACGGCCAGGCGTATAGATTTCCGTATGGTTACTGCGCTGTGAAAAAAGAAAGCGAATTCTGAAGTTCAAAAACCAGTCGCTTGTGAACGGAAATATGATTGACAGCAGCGGAAAACGCAATTGTGAAAGCGACCTTTGAACTTCTGAGTTCGCGTGTTTTTTAAAGGCGCAGTAACGTGATTTCGCGTTAACTGAACACCTAAACGCACAAATTTTAACCTGTCCGTTTATTCCCGAGTGAACCAAAAAAATAATGGCGTTCACGAATCTCCGAAGACGAAATAGCTAAATTTCGGGCTAAAAGTGAACGGAAGAAATACAAAAATACGCAAACACAAAGCTGGATGGATGTTATCTACTTTTTAAGAAGTATCTTCAAAAAAGATCTTTTTATATTTTGAAACCGTGCCGAGAAATAGGCCAAAGGTTTGAAGAAAGTCCACAAGGAGAAAACCTTATTAAAAACTGAGAAATATTTTGAATGAACAATAAAACAATAACTGAATTTATAGATATAACACCAAGACATGTTGCCGTGTTGGAATGATGCTGAAACCATTAAATGTAGAAGTTTAGGTCTAGAAACAGCTTTTGCTCAACCTTGAATTAACGACTCTTTCCAAACCTATATACTGTTTAAATGGGTCTTGTGTACTTTTTGTGAAAAACAGGTTGAAATCTTGGAAGAAGGAATGGCTGTCCATGGAAATCGCATCACTGCTGCCCTAAAACCATTGCACGAAAACCTGGAGAAACGTTTCAAGGAGATGAAGAGCAAGACTGCGCCTTTTAAAAGGGTGATTCAGATTAGCTTCAGTCAATAGGTCATTTCCAAGTTACCACAAGCCTCTGTTTCAAAGCGAGGCTAAGTGCGAAGCCATGGACATGAAAATGTTTTTTTTTTATTCTCAAGCATTTAAAACTCATTGTCACAAGAAGTTTTACACTTAGCCCTTTTTTGGAATTGAGAGTTTTGAGAACTCGGAAATGACCAGTTACAATGAAGAGGATGAAAACAAGAGGTCTCCTTGTGTGACCTAATACTCTTCATTCGTGCAAAAAAAATTTTGAAGCTAATTAATATTTGTTTCCGCATAATATTGCACGAATCCGAACTTGTGGAACTCTTTACCTCATATTTTTAAGGTTGTAAAATGCTGCAGGTAAACCATGAAACTTCCTGAGTACGGGTGTTCAACATGTGTTTTCGGTTCAGAGAAAACAACTAAAATTCTTTTGTCTGGTCCATAAGGAAAGACTACAAAACCTAAAGCGGCCGGCAATTGTGATTTTGTCCCTGCTTTGGTCTCCGCTTTACGTCCCTTTTACATATCGATGTGTGTGAACTGCTGGTTATGGCTGTAAAACGTCCCCTTTGCTTTCCCCTGAGACACGACCCCAGTGTTTCTCAACCTTTATTCTCTTCTTTTCATTTCTATAGGGAAAAATGATAGCACTCTTCTTTATTTACTAGCGCAACGGAGTTTTGAAAACAGGATCCTATCTATATTACAAACTTATAATTTGAGCACTGCATTTATTTAACAGGCTCGAATAAGCACCATATCCAAACCTCGAGCAGCCGACGGATCTCCAGCGATCACAGGCAGGTCAATGACAACTGTCCGAAGAACAAGCGAGAGACCTGTGTTGTCTGTGCGAAACAGCTTGGATAAGATGCATCAGTCGTACAATGACTGGAGCGAGTAAGTAGTGGAAGTGTAGACTGATGAAACCACCTCCGGAACCTCTTTTAGGGTGTGAAAGTAACAGGAAATAAGGGCTAGAGTGAGGAAGAAAACGTAGACTCTCCCTCCCTTCTCACCCCTACCTTACCTTTTGTCCTTTAAAGGGCTGTAGTTTTAAAGAAACCATGGTGTTGCGTCGCTGAGAAAATCGGCGGGGGTTGGAGTGCAAAACTTTGGTTTTATCAACTAAATCTAAAAAGTAAATTGGCCACCGTCGGGAGATTAAGAAGCTAAGTTTCGAGTGCTAACCGTCTCGTTAGAGAAAAGCAGGGCAGTGTGGGTTTGTGTGGTTTATATAACAAATGTCAAAGCTCAGTGTCGGATCCGGGGGAGCCCCCCCCCCCCCCCCGCCTTGTCTCAGGGTCTGGATGACCCCCCTCCCCCCCTAATACTGACAAACAAACTAGAGACCTTTAGATTCGAGGACGATTATTCCCAAAATTCAATTACACCGGAAAGCTTCACTTAACTTTTTTCACCAAAGTTAGCAGGGTTATTTGTATTGAAAGAGGATAAGCCCTCCCCCGATCGGAAAATGATATGAAAATTACTAACCGTTGATAAATTGTTGACATTCTTACTAAAGCTCGTAGTAGAATGACGACCGCTATCACATTTTCCCACCAAAATGACGCTGGCTCACTCGCGCGCACTACTTAGTATTAAGAATATCTCGTCCTCGTCTTAGAATAGAGACCTTTAGATTCTAAGACGAGGACGTCTATGAGGACGAGGTTTCCTTAATAGGGAGCTTAAGCAACAGCGTTTTTGAGCGACGGACGTCAACCGGAAGTGGACTTTTTGCATCATTGGGCAGTGGTTTGGTTGAAACTCTCGGGTAAATCGTCTTTAAAAGAGAAAAGAAACTCAGTAATACAAGTTTGTTAGCGTCAAGGCATATAAAAAGGGAGAAGGCCTCACTTCCGGTTGACGTGCGTCGCTCAAAAACGTCGTTGCTTAAGGTCCCTAATACCAACTAGTGCGCGCGCGTGAACCAGCGTCCTTTTTGGCGGGAAAACTTGGTAGCCGTCGTCATTCTACTACGAGTTTTAGCAAGAATGTCTGAAGGCCTGGATCCGCCATTGAAGCTGTACTATTGGTGGGAACTTTGTTACGAGAAAAACTAATAAATTAGTTGAATGGGAAGCTTTCGTTGATACTATGTATATCTTTTCACGTAGCGCACAAATGATGCAACTGAAACGAAGTCTTTGTTTTATTGCCTAGTGTGGATGGGGATTTTCCCTTCTTTATGCCTAATGCCACTTTATTTTCTCTTTTAACAGCAGCCCTATTGGCAATCCTCCCCCACTCCCCACGAAAACTCTCCCCTCAGGGGTACGGTCCCGAGCACAAAGACGAGCAACCGTCGAGATATCTATGACACAGCTGACAGAGGAGGTAAATATCCAACGAATATTTTCTACTACCATATGATGAACACTACGAGCTTTGTGATGATCGTTACTTGTTACATTAAGAGTATAGCCTTAGCGACAAAAATCCCGAGAAAAGGCCTAAAAATCTTTCCGGAATATCTGGTTTGCCTCAAAAAACCCATGAAAATTCCTAACTTCTCTAAAAATGTATTAATATTAAAAACACTGGGTGATCTGTGGTGAAAACGAGGAGCCCACAGAAATGATGCATGAAAGGAATGCTAGATTGAGAGTAAACCGCTGACAGATTCAATTCAATTCAATTCGATTTTATTCACACTCTCTGTCAGTGGGCGCTTTCTGAGAGTGGGCATCAAAACGTTGCAAAAAAAAAAAAAATGAAAAAGAAACAAAACAGAAACAGAAACAATATTCCAAGTTTCATTCTTTTTTGCAACAAATTAAAATAAAACCTTAAAAATGTTAACCAAAATCTGTAAGATAATTCCCTAGTTTTCTCTCAGAAATCCTGTGAAGCTCTAAAATCCCGAAAAATGTCCGGTTTTTAGTACCTAAGCTTGTAGGAACACAGACACGCGACTGGTTAAGGCCTCAAAGAAGTTAGAAAAAAAGGTTGCGCAAGGATGCAAGAAAACTTTGAAGCCAGCTGAAATATATGTATTGTTTTCCTGACGTAAAGTCTGCTTAGGACAGAAAATGGTTCTCATTTTTCTAATGAATGTAGGGCTAACAGTAGGACTAAGAGATTTTGCTTCTATTCCAGTTTATGACCCCGAATACCCCAACGTCCGAGATTGCCCCTCCGAAACCACCTAGACCAGCACCACAGGCACAGCAGCTTCCAGAGCTGCCACAGAAAACCAGCCAGAAAAAGTCCTCGGAGGTCCAGCATCGTTCCAGTACCGAGTCAAGTGGATCAGATGGCACCGAGCCAGTAGAGCAGGTAATGATTAATTTATTTTATTGAGGACATATGGTGTTATGCGAAGTGCTGTAGATCCTTCCAGTGGCTTTTGGCGTAGTCTGGCTCTGTATCATTTCGCTGTTTTTGCTTCGCTAAGCTTTCGAAAATTGCGAGCCATCTCGCTCCTTCTAGCTATCCACTACCAAATTAATCACCTGCTGCCGGTTACATAGTGTCATTCGTCCAATATTTAGCGATTATGGAATATAGCTGAGTAGGATGTGAACAATTATGCAGATCGAGTAGCATAATTCATGCATAATTCTTCACATCATACGAAAGCCGAATTCAATAAATGTTTTGTTATTAATTCAAGATATTTTCAAGTTCTTAACAAGCTTACCTCCTCGTAGACTTTCTTCAAAACTTTGGCCTATTTTTCGGCACAGTTTCAGGATATAAACACAAGTTTTTTCTCGCAGATACTCCTAAAAAAGTAGATAACATCCATCGAGCAATATGCTTTGCGTATTCTTGCGTTCCTTCCGTTCCGTTTTAGTCAGAAATCCAGCTATTTTGTCTACGGATGGCCGTGAACGCCATTTTTTTTTGGTTCAATGGTGAGTAAACAGCCGGGCCGCCGCGCCTGGAAACGAGGTTGTTTGATGGTCTAATTCCCAAGCAACCTTGTTTATGAAGAATTCGCCGAGGGCTTTGAGCCAATCAGAAACGGTGAAATATTATGAATGAATCATAATATTCATTATTGGACCGTTTCAGTTTTTCCAAATTTGGGCAGCGTTATCGCATTTTCTTTATGTAAAATTAGCTGAGGAATTAAGCCAGTCAGAAAACACGAAATCTTCAAAGTGGTTAATAATATGCTGTAAACACGACATGGTATGTCATCTATTACACGCTATATTATTCTTTTTGAGTTTGGTGTTGCTCTTCATGATATATAGTCGATGATAGTTTTTTTGGTGTTGTTCTTCATGATAGTCGCAAGTGATAGTTCATGTTATTTTAGGTGAAGGTATCTTTGCTCTTCTAACCTACTCTATACTCTTACTTCTTGCTTATATCAACGTTGCGACAATTATTCCTGACCTCGCCGTCGTCGCCTTATTTATTTATATTTATTTATCTATTTATTCCCTAGACACCAGCTCTCCCACCGCGCACGTCCACAATGGCAAAACCAAAAGATTCGCCCCCAGTTCCCCCAAAGCACCGGTGAAAAAGAAGACGCGAAAAGAGAAAAATTTTTCCTCTCATAACTGGCACTGGTACATTCGTCTATATACATGTAATCTTCTATTTGATGAAATTTCTAGTTCTGAATACGAATACTTTTGGTAATTTTCCTTTGTTTTGAGGTGGGAATGCTAAAGGCATTTGTGCATAATGTCGCAGCGGTTCATGATTGAAAGAGATTTTTATTGAGTTTTAATAACAATCCGTTATACGGAGCAGTTTACTAAATGTTAGCAGACATAAACGGAATTTTGTAGATACACATGCCGCATGCTTTCAAGTATGTTTCAACACAGTGTTGTTTTCTGCTCAGTCTTGATTAAGTTTGGTTTAATTTGTGCAACGCTTTTGCCTTAAAAAACAAGCTCGTTGTTTCTCCACGCTTGGTACCATTTACAGTGTTATATGCCATTTCAACCAGTCATAGTCAAATTCACTTTCCCAATGTGACTTTCGGTATTTATCGATAGACCTTATTCACGACACCCGCCGCCCTCTTTGCACGCACTTTAGGATTGATGAGATAAAAGAAACGTCACTTGGCGTCTCCGAAGCCAAATAAGTGATAAATTTGCCAATACGTGTGATAGCGGTCGAGTTTGGTTATTCTCTCAAACCTTTACGACGATTTTAGCCATGCGCAATGTATAGTTCGAATTTCTACAAGTTTTACGTCATTATCGCTTGCTGTGAGGACATTTACGGTCGCTACTCTATCAAAAAAGATCATTTCCACCAAAAAGTCAGGCTCCATTATCGCCTTTAAGATACAAAGTTTTTCATTCTGTTGTCTAGTTTAAACGAACTTGACCGCGATTTCTTGTATTGGCAGATTTTGTCAGTTGTTGCCACCTGAAGAACCACGTGACATCGTTTTTTATCCCATCAGTCCTTAAGCGCGAGCAAAGCTGGCGGGTATCGCGAATAGGGTATATATCTGTTCATAGTATCTTTCAGGCAAAGATAATATTAGATTTTAATGAAATAGAATGTCTAATCTTTGATATAGTTTTTTTTTTTTTTTTAATTTTTAGTAACATCTATTCAATCAACAATCAACAATCAAAAATACTTACAAACACTACGATACTTACACTACTTACAATACAATATCTAGAATACAATAGACTAAGGTACTTACTCTGTTTACAATGTAAAGACTTACAATACTCAGTACTTACAACACTACCTACTCACTACTCACACTACAATGCACTATTTACAAGCAGTTCTAATTAGTGATTGTACTTCAAAAAAAAAACATTCACGGTAAACGCACTTATATCTTAACTGTCTTAAAGAGGCAGCGATTGTGAAGCAAAAGATACACTAGGTTAATGCTGGAGAAAATGAGCAGAGGATCGATATATACAAATGTATACAAAATCAAAGGCTTACTGAAATAAGGAGCTCACATTTTCCCATTTTTTTGGTAAAATGGGACCTGCAGTGGTCTCTATGTGGTAGAATGATTTGAGGTATTGCAGGAAGCCTGCTATCTTTGGCGAGGTTTCCCTTCTTTTGCTAATCCTTGAAAATCGAAGTCGTTGTTGAAAAGAATGCATACCCCTGCTTTATTGCTCTTATAAGTACTAAAAATAGCTTGATAGCCCCATTCAGCAGACCATACGTGATTAGTATTTTCAGTGCAGTGGACTTCTTGTAGCATATATGCCGAGTAATTTTTTTTGCGAAGCCAATTAAACACCTCTCTACGCTTTGTATTGTCTCTTAATCCCCTGACGTTTAGTGATGCTATTGTCAAAGCCATAGATATTCTCTTGGGCAGCTTTGCAGAGGAAGCCTTACATCACCTGGTGTCAAAGCTCCACAATCGCTGCACGGTATGATAGGAATTTGTACTAGGCGTTTACTTCTAAAACAAATGATTAAGCTATTAAAACATAGAAACCAAACAGAACATGCACAGATAAACATAACTAAATAAGAAACCTCTTCGTAAAGGGACATGGGGGGGAAGCTAGGACTTTTACCTAGAATCTTACAGACAGATAAGAAAAACCGAAGCGCCATCAGTTACGAACCTCTATTCCGATCGCCTAAATAATTATCTAGCAATTGATAATAACGGGTGGCAAATGTGGTCAAACGATACATTTACCACCCGGGAAAAAAAGAATATGTGGCGGACGGATCAAGGACACGTCTTACGCCATTGCTACCCAGGCCCCTTTTTCCTAATCTTTGATATAGTTGACTAGTTGACAAAAGCCGTAATCTTTCATAATCAAATAATTAAAATAATAAGAATAATGATAATAATAAGTGAAAAATATAGAATTTTGAAACAATTACACCGGTTAGTTATTTTTGTATAGTACGTTTCTAGACTAAAGGTGTAGCTTAATCTCCTTTTTTTAAAAAAGTAAATAATGCGCAGTAATTTGCCAAACAACGATATTTTTCTATTGTAATCTCTTGAATCACGTTTAATAAGTAAACCAACTTATTTTGTAGACCATCCTGTGTATTCGTCAGTGTCGGGAGATGGGTGATTTGCGTTCTGCATTTTCTATCAACTCCTGCAGGTTCTGAATTCAAAAAACTATGAAGATATTTTTGAAGGGAAAACAAAGGGAATCACTGCCAAGAAATGTTGCATATGTGATACTAACTTCCTTTAAGTCTGCAACTTTTGCTTCTACCAGTCGAGACTGATTAAAACCACAACCACAACAACAGCATCAACAACAAGAACAAGGCGCCAAACAAACAAAAACAGAGGATTGTGAATTTTCTATTGTAAATGGTACAACAAGATTCCTTGTCTTGGGAACACCATGCAAATGATCAAATACCCGAATTTTTGTTTGACCTGCCATTTCCATACAACAAGGAATGATGATTTACCCCACCCCGGCCAAGCAGGCCTACACGCTGGCACGCAATTCTTATCTTCTTCACCTGTATTAAGACTTTTTTAAATCTTGCTACAGTTGAATGCACCACAGAACTGCGGATAAAGATATCAAAGTGAACAGGATCTTCGCAGTAGAATGAAAAACCTAAGCAATTAAAAAAGAACCTGAAAATATTAAGGCTTGACCAGGACTCGAACGCTGACCTTTGCGATAACTGGACACAACCCTCTATCCGTCGAGCTAATCAAGCCAACTGGAGAGCAGGCCGAAATTGTGAGTTTTATTGTTTATACGCAACAGCACCTTGAAAAACGGTACCAAGAGGAAAAAACGTGAATAAGTGAATAAACATCTAGATTAGTAACCAGAGGGTAAGGTCCTGTCGGTTTTTTCGGAGTTGCATTTGTGAACTGATTAAAACAGAAAATCATTATTTTCTTTTTTTTTTTTTTTTTGAAGGGTGAAAAAAGCAATTGTTTTTTTTTATTTTTATTTTTTTTTATTTTTACAAACATAATGCTGACTTACTTACATAGTACTTACTTAGTTACATAAAGCTTTAATACCTACTTACATATAACTTGCTAAGTTAAATACTACTTACTTACATAATATTAACTTACAAGATAATGCTTACAAAACAGGAGCCGATGAGTTGGAGCCTGTAACAAAATAATGAAAAAAGAATTCTAATACAACTAATTGCTGACTTACTATCTATTAACGAAGAGTAAATACGCTAAAAACGACAAAAAATAAATAAATAAATAACAAACAAACAAACAAAACAAAAAAGCCAAAAAACAAGGGAAATTAGCCAGAATCAAGAAAATTATTTTTACAGCTTGACTTGCGCCTTAGCTTTGCTAGTTTCAGTTTGTATTTTATTTTTAAGGATAGACAAAAAAGCATCGAAAAAATAATCTTCCTCATTTTTAGACGCGTTGTAAATATAGTATTTTGCAATTATCAAGCAGAGGTTTAAACCAAGACACTGAGGCACGGTGTCTGTAATGCCATAAAGTGTTTGTGCTTCAGAAAGCGAGATCTCAATGTTGTTTTTTTCGCACCACCAAACTGCAAAATGTGTCCAAAACAGCTGAGCATTGGGGCAAGTCACAAATAGGTGAGTGACTGTTTGCTTTTCAGCGCATAAATGACAGCGGTCATGTTCTTTGATTCCGAATTTATATAATGTAGCGTTGGTGGGTAAGATGTGGTGTAAGATCTTGAACTGAAACATTGAGAGTTGTATGTCTTTCGTAGCACTGAAAGGCATCTTGTAAATTTGAGAAATTTGCTGTTCATTTAAACTAGCTTTTCTGAGTCTTTTTTTGGCGGTGGCAGGAACAAATTTCCTCTCAAGTTGGTAGCAAGTTTAGAAGAAAGCTTGTCAACGGGAATTCTATCCATACTTATGGATTTATTCGAAGGCGGCTGTAATTTACCTTTCATTATTTTAATCCAGTTAGGAGGAATTGCTTTGCAGAAAATCATTTAGAAGAATAAGATAATTTTCTGATTGAACATTAATTTGTAGCTGAAAAGCATAGCACCATGTGAAAGTACTGCCAAAGCGGTTTCATTTGAATGGTAGCACCATAGGATTTCATCTACAGACTCAAACGTTTGAACTACGTACTAAATAAATAGTACCATGTGATAGTACTGCTGCAGAGGTTTCATTTGAATGGTAACACCATAGGATTTCGTCCACAGACTCAAAAGTTAGAACTACATACTAAATAAATAGTACCATGTGATAGTACTGCTGAAGTGATTTCATAATGAGGCCTAGGGACTAGACAAGCTATCAGCCGACACTCGGTCACTTGTTGCTCGACTAAGAGTCGACATGCCGGCCGTTTATCAGTCGACATGTCGGTCGAAGTCATTCTGCCGAGTGTCTTTCGACAACTTGGCAGATATGTCGACCGATAGCCGACCGAGTGGAGGTGCCCAAATTACACAAGATCCAATGTTATGGTGGTCAGGTATAAAGCTGAAAAACTTACTGTCCTGTGCAGGTTGTTGGCTGTTTATGGCTATCACTAGATATGAATATAGACCAGATGGATTAAAATTATATTTACGAATATTACAAAAAGTGAAAGTGCAGAAATTTGCAAAATGAACCATACAAGAAAATTGTAAAATAAAAGTCCTCAACATCTCTTTAAATTTAGATAACAATTTATACTGCTTTCCTGAGTCCGTGAGCTTATTATAGGTCCTTGCACATAGTATGTAATGGATCTTTCTTTCTAAATTCAGTTCACACGGTCAGAAGTACAACATTAATACAATACACTTATTCATAACATATGTTAGCTTACATGACCATGGCCAACAATCGGCTAAACACCTTATTGTTCCCAACGATCTTTCATTCTTTGCCGATATTCGCCGAATTCTCTTACATAGAAAGTGTCACCAAAAATATTGATAGTACCAAGATCATTCTCTCTTGATAGTACATAATACAGTTCCTATTGCAAGGTTTTCACGCTGCAAACATTGAAATAACCCTTTTTTGGGACGAAAGGACATGTAAATCCTGATTTAAGAACTACAACAAACAAAATAAAAAAAGTTTCTATTTTGTGTCCTTTGTTTATTGTGATATTGTGATTGGGAGTCCTGTGGCTCTAATGTATGATTGAAAGCCTTTCAAATTGGCGCCCCATCACGACGCACCTGGTGCTTTAAGCCCTCCACCAATCAGCGACTGTGTTTACATCATCGTGTTTTCTGGTTCATTCGCTCGAGAACTTGTCAAATTTGCATAAAAAATGTTCGAGGCAAATAAAAGTTTAAGAAACTCCTGTTACGCCCAGATATTTAGATTCGTTCACAGTTCACTGCACGTGTCCGTTAACTTCTTGTTTCCATATTTAAAGTGAGGACCGAAGAAAACACTGCTCTACGTGCAGCGAACCATCCTTCATCATGTGCTCCATGAAGAAATGCGCCTTAGTTTTTCTTACCATTGCAACCTTTCTGGTCTTTGCGGGAGCTGCTGTTTTCTTTTACTTCGGCCAGTTCGCAGACGAGAGCGTCTTCGATTTCCATGTCTATAATCAAACATTGAAACTGTTCGCGAAATATCCCGTTGAAATAACACCAGCAGAATGGACTTTTTGGACGTGGACAGCCGTGTTCGGCTGGCAGTTGCTTTGGCTGTTTTATTCGCTGATCTTGATGTGCCGTTGGAACGGCCCCGAAGTCCTAACGCCGTTTTTCTTCGTCTTCACCCTGCTAGGGTTCGGTTGCATGCTCGGTTGGGTATTGTTATGGGGCGAAGATCTCATCAATATCGCTCTGGGATTAATCGCTGGTACGGTTGCTTTCCTGTGTGTAGCCCTTGGTATCGCCTACTATCGAGTATTTACTCTGCGCGATGGAATGAAAAACTTTCCAACCGGCGACTGGATAGCGGTCGAAGTGCTCGTCTTGAACGGAGTGGCTCTGTTTGCATCTTGGGCGCTTTACAACGCCTTCCAAGGCGTTGCAATCGTTCTCAAGTACACGGCTGAAGTAGAAGATGAAATCACCTGTACCATAGTCCTTGCCGGCTTTGCAGCTACTCTCTTTTTCTGGTTTTGTTTGGACAACTTTGTATTTTGGCAGTTCACTCTTTTTACTGTCACTCCTTACGCACCCATGATCGTTGGCTTCACGGGAACCCATATGGAAAATTGGAATGAGGACAAGAGAAATTCGATTTTTAATGTCTCGTTGTTAGGCGCTTGTTCTTTGATGCTATTGCTAAAAATAATCCATGTCATTTGGCGGATCTGGAGAGATAGAAAGAAGAGCAAGCGAATTGTAATCGAGGAGAATATAAACATGATTTAAAATGACTTGTAAGACATTCTTCAAGGAATTAGCCTTCAGTGAGTGGTGCGAAAAGTGCCGGTGGGTTGCCAGGATCGCAAAGCGCCGGATCGTTTGAGAGACAATTCAAAGGAAAGGGAGAAAACTGACCACGAATACAAAGTGCTTGCTTGAAGTCTATTTTAACAGAGTGGAAGAGAAGTTGTCCCTTTATTCGCTAGCAGCTGCGGAGATGTATGGAGTGAAGCGTTTTCCATTAGTTAACGCTTTTAAATTGTTAATTCGCCGAGCTTAACGTCCCTCGGGTAATTTAAATGCTCTGCATTTCAAGAGATTATGCAAAGTAAACAAAATATATCGGAGTACTTCCTCGTCAACGGATCTTACTCGACTTTTGATCAATGTAGTACTCTTTTTTTTTTTCGCTATTTTGATATATTCGCTTCACTTAATATCATTTAGCCCTTCGCAGATTTTCATTTTTTGAAAGTATTGTTCTTTACGGAGACACGGCAGAATGAGTTTGTTGTGTAAATATATATAAAAAATTGTTGTCCTTGGTTTAAAATAAAGATGATGTAAAAGCTGTGCATTTTACAAACAAGTCAGCTCGTTTACTTATGTTTGAACTTGTATTTAAGTAAGAATAACATTAAGTTAAAGTTACTTATTTAAAGACAGTCCTTGCTTAAAATGAAAACGAAGTCCATCACTGCATCGAATTTAACACCTGACAGTGTTGAGATGATTTGAATAAATTTACACACAGGAACAAATATTTGAATGATGGTGTCACTGAAAATAACCGCTATTGCAACACTTTGTCTGTATTTATAATATCTGTCAGCTTGATTGCCTTTCTGAGACGTTTGAGAAGTCATCGCAGGTTAATAGCATGTTTTAAGCAACTGCAAATCCCATTTCCTGAATGAATTAACTTTGACAACGGCGGTAACGAAGCGGTAACGAGCGGCGACCAAAGACCTGATAAATTAGAAATGTTTTGAAACTCAAGCAAAACCTTTTCAAACACCTGCAGGATTTTTTTGTTGTTTTATTGCCCACCCCCTTTGTTCCTGCCTGCACCTGTTCTGCGTGGGACTCGTAAGCGAAGTCCTCGACTCTCACGTATTCTTCAACTCAGGCCCAGTGCTTTTTACTGGATAAATCACTCTCCAGCGAATAAGTATTACGCGGGGAACCAATTGCGCAATCCAGTGGATATACATTTTATGGAGTGTTTTCACATGACGTCACGGCGGCCATATTGGTGTCCCAAAACAATGAAACGGCAGGCATGTTGGTGTCCCAAACCAATCCTGTGGGAGTTGAACTCCTTTCTTATGCAAACGCTTTCTTTTATTCCCATAAATTTGCATAGATGCTGGCCACGTGAGTGAAAACACTCTATAGCGTTAAACACCTTTCATCGGGTGAAACATCTGAGACCAGATTCGTTGTAGGTGAAGTGGGCATACCGACATCGAAAAACCTTTTCACAATGCAGCACCAATAAAAACTGGTGTGCAACTTAAAATTTCCTTGCACCGCTATATTTTGAGTTTGAGGAGGCTGTTTCTCTAATAAGATAAGCATCAACCTGAGCGTTCAGAAGTGCTGCTTTCGATTTTAGTTCTGAATGGCGATCCCATCGACACAGGTATCCGTCTGGTATCCGTGCATGATTCTCTAAACGAATCAGATCGCACCGAAACCTCGTCTATTCTGAACGAAAAAAATTAAATTGCGAAATATTTAAGAGACGTTTTAGCGTCAAATTAGTTGTATGTAACTTATTAAACATTTGGAGAATTATACATGCAGAAGCGGAATTAAGGAACTGACGAGTCCATAATCATTATGTGCGGGATGAGGTAGAGAACGTGCGAGAATGTGTTTATCTAAGGGTGGTGTAATCAATTTAAAAAATTTCGATCGCACAGTAAAATTGTTCGGAGCTGGGTTTTTGCTGGGTTGGAAAAATCGAGAAAGACTTTATTTCTGCTATTAGCGGTAATTTTAAATTTCTTTCTGATATGCTAACGATGTGTGGAATGTGTGGAATGACATTTAGTGGGGACCCCGTTGTTTCTTTTGTTTTGTGTCCCCAGAGCGTGAAAACTGAAACCAGTTAGACCGGGGTCCCCACTCCACTGTTAAAATTGGGAATCTTGGATGATAAAATTGGGAATCTTGGATGGTCTCAGCCTGAACAATTTGGAAGAATCCAAACTGCATATATGTCTTCTCTACAAAAGTTAAGAGGCCTCTTTGGAAAACTCTAGTCTTACGTAACAATTGTTCAAAAATTCTAGCTCGTTAAAAAGAGATAATAATGCGCGAAACTGTGAAACTAATCTACGTTATAACGTGTAATAGAAAGAAGTCTCGCCCATCACTGCAATGGATCAATGTGTCTCATATTTAGTTTTCTGTTGAAGAAATTGTCTGTGGCGATTCCAAAAGCAGTTCCTGATCAAAAATGCCATTGTTAATTTTACTGTATTTTAAGTAATTCTAACTGGAACAGTTAATTATTTCAAATAGTTCATACATTCATGTTATTCATTAATTTTGTTTTAAAATTTTCCAGTGCAACCATTCAAGCACAAGTTGTGATCAATTACTTTCTTCCAGCCTTTTCACAGATCTCCTAGTTTCTCTCCAGGGTCGATCGCATGTTTGAAAATATATCCGCAAGGATTTATTTTAGGCAAGCTCTTCTTCTTGGTGGTCTTTGTTTGACCCATCGCGTAAATCAGCTCACAGCCGCGCTGTCCAAACAAAACCGCCAGCTTTGCATTTTCGTTTTGTGTTATTGTTTTGTAAGTTTAAGACTTAGGCTTTTTGACAGTGTAAAAGACCATAAAAGGCGAAGATTTTAGCGCATAAATTATATCAGAGTGCACTTGTTAAGACATTCAGATGCCCACCTACCACGTGATATTCGATTAACAGCGGACGTGGCGCTCTGCACAGAAAAGAACAGAGATGTTCATATGCACGCAAAGAAAAATAAAGCCAACAGAGCGTTTTCTCTCCCGTGGACAGCCGCCAGGCCAATTTTTCGGAACAAAAGAAAGTTTCTACATAAGAAAAAGGTTCAAAGTGGCCGCCGTTTTATTGTTTTAAAACACCAACATGGCGGACGCTTCGTCATGTAAAGCAGGGCATTTGCTGGGCGCATGCGCGAGGACCTAAAACTGGCCGGGAGAACATCGACTTCGTATTGGGTCTTCATTAGCAGGGAGGGGAAACTGCTAGAAGGTCTGACCTGCGAATAACATGTTCTGCTCATGCGAAATGTCGTCCAACTGTATTTGGCTGCAAATAATATTCCGCTCAGTGGGTAAACGAAACCACGCTTTTCTCCTTCTTCATCCTCGTCCCCAGAGCAACCCCAGAGCAACTTGGCTTACAAGACCACGTGACGTGGAGACGAGAATGCTCCTTCTTTCGATCGCCCAAGACAAACTTGGTGATCGAATGAAAAAACAATTATTAAGCTCGGTTATCGTAAAATATCGTGATCTGTCAGTGTCTTGCAGATCGATCAGTTGTTTGCCTCAGCCTTCGGCGGGATCGGAGGTGGGTTTGTTTGACCCACGCGTAAATGAGCTCGAGTTCCGCCCATTTCCGCAATGCCGAAACAAAACCGCCAGCTTCGCATTCGTCGCTTTATGTTATTATTGTTTTGTAAGTTTAAAACTAAGCTCTTTGTCAGTGTAAAAGACCAAAAAAGGCGCAAAGTTTAGCACATAAACTCATATCAGAGCCGGACTTGGCAAGACATTTGTCCCATACACTCTTAAGTCTTAACCCAATCTGAGTACGTTTTACGTCGAATGCAACAACAATCTTTTCCTCCGGTTGGTGACAGTTGTTTGGTGTCATTCCGGCTTGCATTGTTCTTGTGCGAATTTTTCTCCCTGTCCAATTGTATAATGACTAAGACCCTGTTTACATGGAGTGGGGGACCCCGGTCTAGTGGGGTAGGTTTCTTTTGTGTTGTGTCCCCCAGAGCGTGAAAACAAAAGAAACCAACCTCACTAGACCGGGGTCCCCCACTCCATGTAAACAGGCCCTAAGACCTACTAGCAGTTTCCTCTCCCTGCTGATGACGGCCCATTCTCGGCGAAGTCGAGTTTTTCCCAGTCCTATTCACGTCCGTTTACGGACATGTAAAAATACGGGGTCGAACGGTTATTCAAACCATGTCTAACTTAGACCGCGGTTTAGCAAATCTTCGGACTTCCAGATCTCTTTCTTAGCATGTGGGTTATTTTATGAAAAAAACTTCTTTTCTAGTCACTATACGCTTTAATAAAACTGTTCATCTTAAATGGCGTTTAGATAAAAGGGTTGATCAAACTAAAAATGGCTTAGGACGCGGTTTAGTTAACCACTGACTACAAATTCCGTTTAAATAACGTGCCTACATAGCTTGTGAGTTGAAACGGGGTTTTATTTTCATGGCGGCCGTAAGCAGAGCTTAAGAGAGCGTCCAATGTATTTCTGTATGCTTGTACATGTATGTAAAAATCTTCCCTGTTCTTTTCTTTGCGGATCGCCACCTCTGCAGTTCTTTGCTGGAAAGCTGAAATTCCACTCCGCCTGGAGCCTCCCTATAGGCCATTTTTGAGAGGACCCGAAAGGGGTACCTTTTTCACTTAGGTTATATCAAAGGGTGGGGAAATCTGTCATTGTGGTGTGTGAAAGGGCCTAAAAGGAGGCATTTTATGGCTAAAAAAAAGACAAGAAAACTTTCCGGTTTCATGAGTTATTCACATTTAAAAGACGATGCATTTGCAGCAGTTAAAACGAACGCAGGGTTCTAAACTAGTTTATGAGAGGTACCATTTGTCAATAAAAGGTATACCAAAGGGGTACCTTTTCTGTCCAAAAAGGCATATAAAAGAGTGAGAGGACGGATCTCAGGGCGGACCCTCCCAATATAAAGTTTTGCACCCCCTGTCTGATGCAATGTTGAAGGATCGGAAAATCACCTTAAAATGGAAAAATGTCATACCAAAAATCGCCATGCAGGATATGAAACAAATTTGAACATACTGGTAACAGACACGGTAATTGGAGGGCAAGCTGACGTACATTGTATGCACAATATACAACTGTAACTAACAAAATATAACATTTGCACACACACAAAAAAAATAATGGCAGGTTCATGTACGTGTTCAGAAAAATGTATTTTATTTTTTTCTGTTTTCCATGCTATAAAAAAATGCATTTCCCAACCAAGGGAAAGTAAACTGACTTAAAATTGCATACATGTACCAGTAACATAAATTCACTTAGAAGTAAATTTTAGGAGGAAGGGGTTATTGACATGAGAAATAGAAGAAAAATACATGTTGGTTTCTAATGTGCAACATTTTTTTTTACATAGTCAGCTTTAGACTAAATACTTCTTGCTTGTTTCTGCAAAAGTTATCAAAGCTAAAAGTTTATGCAAAACTTGCTCCTGTAAATGCACTTAAATCCTGTACAGTATATCTTAAGAGTGACCAACATCAATATTCTCCTAAACAACAATTTATCAATACATCATCAAGAGAGATGTTACGTTAACGATAATTCTTTAAGTTATTGATTTGGATCAGTCTGGAGACTTTGTATGTGTAGGGGCTTTTACACTATAGGGTTCATTAAAAATGTTTGGGATAAATACTGCTAGATTCTCCTTTCAGTTTTCCTGGTTTGAGGCTAGCTAATTCAAGGGAGAATTTGGCATTAGACCAGGAGTCAGTTAGAGCCTTATTTCCCATCCCCTTCAATTACATCATGACAAAAAATAACAGCTCTGGTGGCAAATGTTCAAAGACATCTACAAAGGAAGAGGGAGACTCTTGACTTCTGATAAACACTCTGCATAGTGTTCCTTGATATCATCATGGGACTTCACCATTACGATACTTGTGGGTCGTTTAGTTTGACTTGCAGCCCCAAGGTCCTGAAATTATAAACACCATCTAACTGTCAACAGCGAAGTAGCAAAGCTAAAGATTCAAAAGAATCTGGTTCTGACAGATACCTCTCTAAGTGATGTGGGGATTAAAAAAAGCCCTGTCAGGTTACTATGTAACTTTTCTAGTCTGACATGACATGTCATCTGTCGCTTCGCCCCACCCCATGGGGGGGGGGGGGGGGGTGTGAGGCGAAGGGACTAATGACATTTCAGACTATAACTTTTCATGCTCATTTCCTTGATGGGCAGGAGGTTCAGGCAAGTCATCTTCTAACCAAATCATAAGCTAATTAATAAGACAAAGATGCAACTTTAATTTCAAATCTAATTTTCAAGCCCTGGAATGGGTGAACAAGTGACAAAGAGTATCATGGTGGTTCAGATGTTACGGACCAGATGGTGGGGGGGGGGGGGGAGAGGTACAAAAAAAATATTCGCACAAGGGAAAATTAAATGAAAAAAAATTCATGCACGCCAATTAACCCTAAAAAATATTCATGCTGCGGCCTGACAAAAATTCATACAAGGAATTTGCTAACGAAAAAAAATTCCCGCGGCTCAAAAATTCCCCACTCCCCCCATAACTTTTTGAATGGTCCGTCCCTTAGTATCCTTTACTTGATTATGTGTTCTTCACTAGTGAGGAATTGCTGATTTTGTCTTTGTTTTTTTTCATTAAGTCCAGAAACACTCTAGCAAATTTTACATCAACATGGTGACTTCATGCCTTATTAGACACCTCTATAAAAATTATTGAGATAGACACCTCGCTAACATTACAAGGTCTCTGCAGTTCTTTAGTTACTTTTGTATAAGATGGACACCTCTTTAAGACTTAGACAATTTAAGTGGTTCCCATTACAGTGTCTGTCTAAGAAGGAGTTGACTCAATGAATATAAATTCAGAGTAGAAGATTTAATAACACCTGTAACAGTACTTACACTTAATGAAAAACATATTGTAGTGAAGGTTAAAACACATAAACATGACTCACAAACTTAGAAGGAACATATGCATATGGAACTTTGTTGTCTTCACATGCTACTGGGATGTGTGATATGACATCAATGGGGGAGATATCACCGGCAATAACCACGAACCTAAAACACAAACAGAATCATGCTTTATTCAGTATACCTTTTACCTGACACGTTTTTTAATCAGGATTATAAAGAATATCATGAACTTACAGGTATTGACTGACTTATTTGTCAATATACTTACTGATCAAGTAAAATGTATAAAAAATTCTACAGTCTAATAGCAGATAGGTAAATGTAAGTTTCATGTAAACAGTTCTTTCAGATACATAATATAAACAGCAACACTACAGCTGAAGATAGAGTTTTCAATAAACAGTGATGCCTGATAAACAGAATCTACCTTTTTTTTTCCCCAGATTGAAGCAATTAAAGAAAGGTTCTTTCAAAACTTGTTTATACACTTGTTTACTGCCAGTGCATGGAAGTAATGATATGAATAGTCTATGATCCAAAGGAATTTCACAATACTTAAACAAATACAGTATGTTGCCCAGTATCCAGACGGTACCAGTATCCGGGCACTTAAAACAAAAACTCAATTTTTCAGGTGCCCTTTTCACTTATCGGTAAACGAAGTATTTTGAATGAAAGCTGAACATTTCAGCTTTAAGATGAAGGTTTTGGCGCGTTGAAAGCTTGCGAAACAGTCGCAGAAGACGCGGTTCTGTTCAGGTGAATAAACATTTCATGGCTAATATTTACCCTGTTTACTGCGCAGTAAACTTAGTGCTGCTCTGAAAAGGGCAGGTAATATGTGATATTTTCAAAGAAACGGTTTTATATTTAAAGTGAAGATACTTAAAGAAGTCAGGTTCTCAGAAAGTTTGTTAATTCTTCTTGAAATTCGATTTGTTTGGAATATGGGAGCCCAGAAACATTCACTAAGTATTGATGTCAGGTGCCCAGTATCCGGACAGTTTTTTCTTTGCTGTACAAAATCGATGAATTAGCTTTGTACCTTATCCGGATAACATTTATTTCATATCTATAACTATAATTAAAGCTTAGAATATATGATAAAGTCGTAAAAAGTAATTCTACTCAACTCCGTACGGAAATTTTCTTCACTCATTCGGAGGCGACTTGATTTCGTGTGCGCCTCTTGTTTCGTGTGACTGCATTTTCTATATTTTACCGAAAGCGTTAGAGTTGAACGTGGAATTCTCATACTTTCTCCAGTTGTGACCGCAAAAAGGGGTTGCAACGGTCTGAAAAATGTCTCAAATGGCTTGACAGATGGGAAAGAAGGAGGAATTAGTGCTAGAAAAGCGGGCTTATTGTAGGGTCTGTAGGGACTGAACATGAAGAAATCAACACTGCAGGTCAGACTAAATAGGAGAGTGACCTTTGACCGTCGCATTGAGGTCCCTTCCCCAAGCTTTTTTAATAAAAAAGGAAGAAAAAAATACGTTTGCAGATTGGCTAATTGAGCTAGAAAACCGCGGCTTCGGAATGTCCACGGATGTCTTCCTTAAATCAGTGAAAAAGTTCCTAGAGAAGGAAGTAAGCCATTTAACAACCGCTCGCATTCCCCACCATACCCGAGTCATTTGTTATGTTTTATTTCACGATACTAGGTTATATATTTTTGGAATCGATTGCCAGACTACTTAGCAAGTGCAAGAGAAGATTATACTTCGCTTGCCTGTCGAAATTTATGTACAATTACGTTGTTATTGTTGTGTCCGGATACTGGGCAACATAGGAGCTCTGCAAAAATATCAATTTCGCGATGGAAACAAAGGCAAAAAAGTTAAACTGTCTTTTGTCATATTGAGGATTAAATAGATTTTCTCTGGGCCAAATTTCAGAGCTCTTGCGACTAACAAAGGAAAGCTATTGCAATGTTAAACTGAAGTGTCCGGATACTGGGCAACATACTGTACATGTAAGAACCTGCATCTCTATTGCGCCAATAACTCATAGCTGGAAGGAAACAAAGCCTATCCCTACCAGGTTTACTTATAGAATATTAAGTACAGTGTACCTTAAAATTTGTGAAATCTAGCTGGAAATTTCTTCATGAATTAATGACCAATGATAAACTACAGCATATCAAACGCTGGACACACTGTTTTGTCTGTCTGTCTTCATCTGTTCACCTGAAGTCATTCTTAAAATTCTTGACACTATATCTCATGTATATCTTCACTATACAGGGCTTCTGACAGGTCGCGGAAGAAAAAGTTAAATTTTATGGGATTTTTAGGGACAAATTCGCAGAAAAATTGGCCAATTTCACGGTACTTTCGCTGGAGTTTTCAGGGCAAACTTCACCAAAAAGCAATTAGAAAAAAACGGCCGATTTGATGTCATTTCCAAGGCAAATTTCGCTAGGAATCAATCGGCTTTGCGCTGATCAGACCAGCATTTTTAATGTTTTTCTAACAGAGGTCATCATTTGCTCTTTCAACAACAATACGCTCCAGAAATGAACCAATGGCAAAGCCTTTAAGATCATGGTTAGTGCCAGTTTTTCGCAACATAATCTTACCCTAGTGGTTTTGGGATGTTGTTTGCACGTTTCAGTGACAAAGTTCTAAGATAAATTGGCAAGTTTACAGCAAGTAAATAGCCCCAATAGCTGAAATACAGTTTCAAATATGTTGTACAGACATGTATTTGATAAGATTTCTACCGAATTTTGCGGTATTTTTCGCGTTTTTGTGAATTTCGCAGGATTTCGCGGATTTACCTGAACTTCGCGGCTCCTCGACCACGCGAAATATCAGAAGCCCTGACTATATCTCATGTTTTGATTGTAATGAAAATAAAGCATTAAATCAAGACTCAGTACAGTGGAACCTTGATATGATGAAGGGCTAAGGGACTGGCAATATTTTTTGCTACATGTATATTGAGGCTCTTTCCCATATAATTTACTATCACTGGGGTAAGGAAAATTATTCATTATATCAAGGACTTAGTTATATAAAAGTTCTTTATTTAATCAATTATCAAGGTTCCACTGTAGCATTAGTGTCAACTTACTTTCAACCAAAAATGAGCATGCAGGTAGACCACTAAAAAATCTTACCCCTTCTCTCCTTTTCTTAAAGCTTTTGCTACTTCTTTGACTCCCCTTCTTAAACTCTTAACTTTAGAAGCTGCAAAGTAATCATTCAGAGCAAATTACGGTTGAACTGTTTAAAAAATTAAGCGACCATATATTTTTGTTGCGTTAACATTCATCAAAGTATTGTACAACCAACCGTATATTGTTTGAGGCGTTATTTATAATATCACTGATCATCAGAAACGTGCATGTACCAGTAACAACATTATTCGCTTTCATGTCAGCTGGGCAAAATTATACAGATTTTGTAATTTTTTAACACGGCTTGATGCTTGAAAGTTTAATATCAAGATCAACCTTGATTTAAAAAAAACAACAACAACAAAAACAACAACAACAAAAAAAATTCTTCTATAACTTAGGACCATAATGGACCTCGAGAATGCATATGGATAACTTTCAACTTATAAATTTTGCACCGTTTTCTAAATAAACCACGAGAAATCGTACTTTTATACGGTAACCAAAAATTTGTTTTGGATATAAAGATCATCGTAATAAGCGAATCACGACTACATGATCCGATAATAATATTCTTACATAGAAGTTCAATCAAACCTTCTGACATATGACGCTAACCTCTCTTCACTGTTTTGTACAATCTTTTTGTGAGTTTTCTTCCAGCAAGTGGCTTTGCAATCGCACAGACTCTCTTAACAAGCTCATCGTAGTCTAAGGTAGGTTCTTCAGTCCTTGATTCGTCAACTGTAGTATCGTTTGCTTCTCCACTTTCGCTCTCCTTCTTTTTGTCCTTCGATTTCGCCATGTTGTTTGGAAGCCCACGTGGGAATGACCGACGAAGGACTGGGATGGAAAAAGGAATAAATTATCGAAGTTATCCGCTGGCCAACATCGTTGTGGACTTGACGACACGAGTCACGCTGATCGTTCATAACACAATGAAATGGTGAGTTTTTCCAGAGTTTTAGTTAACTTACATACGTATTTGCTCAGTTATTGGTTGATTTGTAAGTCAGTATCGCAGTATGCTAAGTCACTAATCAGTAATGAACCGGTTATTGTTTTAAAACGGCTCACATTGAGTACATGATGGGTCAGCTGGGCTGATGGCGGGAAATTCAAAGATTTGGATGAAAATTTAGAACTAAATAAGCTTACCTCTTCCTGAATTAATAGATTTGCTGCTTTCTTTTTGAATTCAAAACAATTATCACTCCAACGCTGGAACACATATGCTAGTATTGATTTCTCCCATACATGTGAGCTTCACACATTGTCTGAAAAGGGAGGAGAAGTTGTCACATTATGTTGCCATGGTAGCAACATTTCTGGATCTCAAAAAATCGAAAAAGCCACTAAAAAAAGTGAATTCACACTTTTTTAAACTTTACGCTCTTATTTAATTTCAATCAATGTGTAGTTTTAGAAAATATCCATACCCTCCCCACAGAGGGCAACAAAAATTCTGAGGGGAAGGGGTGGGGTTGGGGGGGGTATGGGGTGGTCGGGGGCTCAAAAAAAGGCATTTTCCAAAGGGGTAGGGTGTAGCTGCTTTGTTGAGAAAGCTTTCTAGCTTGTACTATTAACTGGTGTTTTAAAACAAGAATAATTATTGTCATTGAGAAACTGTTTAGAATTACGGTTGGCTGGATGCTTTGTTGCAAAGAAAGTCGGTGCTACAGCTTGTCGTTCAGGCAAGCTGTAGCTTGTGTGTCCTGGCCCAAAAATGATTTCAGCTATCGCGAAAAAACCTTTGAAGAGCAGGATTGATGACAGTTCTTCTGTAATTCAGTGTTCTCCTTATCAGGCGGTAACCGGTAAACTTTACTCCTTGAAGCAACACTTCTTACTGCCTGTAACTACTTGAAGTGTTACTAAAATTCAATACACACATAAGTTGTTTAAAAAGATAAGCAAGTTGCGATTCAAGCCGATCCTCACAAGAAAAGGAAGTAAATGCAGAAAAGCAAAAAGTATCGTATTTTCTCTGATTACTCTATTTAAATGCTGACTGATACCTTTCAAAGCACTGCAGGCTGACAATTTTTTTTTCATGGGTTTCTGTCTCAAATCCTGGAGATTCCAGGGGGTAGGGGGTATAACAAGCACTCCCTGGAATGGAAATTCCTGGCGGATGGGGGATCTAAGGCAAAAGTGCCCTCTGTCTGTGGGGGAGAGTATGGATTATACAATTTGTCAAATATTGTGGAAAATATTCTGGCGTTGAATCCGAAAGAACTGTATCTAAGTGAAGAAAAGAAAAAAAAAAAACTTGTTTTCTTCTGTTCACGTACTCCATAAAGCGGGTGCATGAAATAAGGATGTTTCATGTTCCTGTCCTGCAATGGTGGCTAAGAAATGTACAAAAAAGCATTTGGAGCTTTGGAGCTTCAGGTTTAGCAATTTTCCACAAAAACCAACTACAGATGTAACTAGGGATGGGAGAGGGATAGGTGTATGGAATAGAGAGGGAGTAATTACCCAACAAACCATCGTACAGTTTATTCAGTACAGCAGACCACTATATACATGTAAATTATCTTCAAGTTAAACCAAAGTGATTAAAATCTGGTTGTATATTGACTGAAATAGATTTACTGATGGAATTTTTAATGGCTCATTCAGTGACTGTTTGAAAGTGAGAGAGGAAGCTCTCCATTAAAGGAGATCTGCTCACTTTAGAATGCAGCTGTTTTGTGATACCATGCAACTCTTATTCTGTAAAGAAGCTGGAGCATTTTGATAGATAAAAGCAAAAAACAAGCAAATGAACAAAAAACCGTTGCAAAAGAAACTAAATGTACTTTCTGGCAAGCTGGCACAGTTCTGACAGTGGTATTACACGTAAGTTGTGTTAACTAAAATCTGCTTTGAAACTTGGCGACATTTTGCTGAACAAACTTGTATCTGTTTTATACCTTTCCCCTTAGGGCATCTGGCAACCCACCCATTGTGCATACACATGTATATCGTTACAATGCAGTCTTCTGACTAGGACTTGGTGGATAAACTAAAGGGATGGATGATTCATCAGGTCTGGAAAAATCCCCAAATGTAAGGAAAAGGTACTGGCTTCATTGCAAGTTTGTTAACAAGTCTCCTTGATGACCACATGTTCATCTGCGGATTGTGGCCTTTCCTCTAGTAGGTACTTATGATGTAGAAAAAATAACCACTGAGGTGATGAACACCCTAGTGTTTGTTGGGTGGGGTTAATGACGTCAAAATGGAATTTATCAAAGCACCTGCCTATGGCATGTGGATTTCATCGGTTTCAGGCACTGGGCTCCCCTTAATTTTTCTTAGAGCTCAGGCTTTAACATTGTATGTACTATATGGTTTATGGTGTATAACTTCTTAGAGCCGGAGGCTCATACAAAAAGGTCTTATCTGGGAAAATGGCAACCATCTCATATTACCTTGCTGGATTTCCACCATGGTAGGTTGTGCCAAAATAAGGTTATATTTAGGGTAGAAATGGAGTCGATTTAATCTAGAAGTTGTTTTCAGGTTTTTTCACCTCAATGCCTGCAACCCACCCTCACCAATGTACTGCATTCATGAGAATAGTGATTCATGATGATTGATCATCTGGTTCAAAGTTTTTGTTGAGTACCTTGCCCTTCATACAGTAGTAAATCATTACAGACTTAACATGTCATCAGATAATTAAAATCTGTGATGCCAAAAGTACTGTTTCAGGTGAATTAAAAAAAAAATCTTAAATGTGGTACAAATGTTGACCAAAGACCTTAAGGTCTTAAGGTGAGGTCTTCGAAGTGTTCAAAGTCAACCTTGGCAGTTTTATTGAATTAAGGAACGGGACTCTTTGTGTTAGTCAATCCAAAAATAACACTTTATTATGAAGCCTTTGACGATTACATAACTTCGAGCAAGTGAAGCCATTGTGAAAATGACGGAATACAGAGCCGTCTTTTCATACATTGCCTTCTCTTGTTTAAAGTTATAATCAAGTGGTTTAGTAGATAATTATTTTTCTCTATTCTCTCTCTAAAACATCCTTAAAATTAGAATGAGATTAAGTGTTCTTTGCATATGTACTATGCCTCCTTAACTGTTGACGTAATGGCTTATGTAACGTGTACGTGGTATGTCATAACTGTCTGGAAATGTCGGTCAAGTAATTAATTTCTTTACTGCTTCTTCGCCTCTTTCTTCTCTTCTTTAGGGGCATCAGCTTTTTTCTCTTCAACTTTCTTCTCCTCAACTTTCTTCTCCTCGGGCTTCTTGGCGTCATCTTTGTCGTCATCATCATCATCATCGTCATCATCTTTATCATCGTCATCATCATCGTCATCATCTTCCTTCTTGGTGGCATCGCTCTTCTTCTCTTCTACTTTCTTCTCTTTCTTGTCTGCTTTCTTTCCTCCCTCATCGCTGTCTTCACTGTCATCTTCATCATCTCCATCATCCTCATCGTCTTCATCGTCCTCATCATCTGCCTCGTCCTCATCATCCTCGTCATCTTCGTCATCCTCATCGTCAAGATCGCTTAACTCGTCCTCGTCATCATCTTTATCATTGTCTTCCTTATCAGCTTCTTTGTCCTCTTTGTCAGCAGCCTTATCCTCTTCTTTCTCAGCCTCCTTGTCTTCCTTGTCTTCTTTATCGTCTACTTTTTCGTCTTTCTCCTTCTCTGGAGCATCAGGGTTGTCTTCCTTGGCTTCATCCTCTTTTGCTCCCTCACTGCTGTCCTCACCATCGTCTTCATCATCCTCATCATCTTCATCCTCATCATCGTCGTCACTTTTCTCGCCTTCACTGCTGTCAATGTCATCATCCATGTCGCCATTGTCTTTCGGTTCAGCCTCTTTCTTTTCTTCCTCTGCAATTTAAAGAAGAAAGAAAAGAAAACTTTAGCATAGAGTACAGTTATTAAAAAAATTGCCGTTATGCGCCAGTTACCTTCTTTCTGTAGTTTTCTTTTGCAGCCATTTTTGACCGTTATAGTGGTTTTGTTTAGGGGAAACTGAAAAGATTCGGTTCAGTTTCTTCAAACTAAGTAGCTACATTACATGTGCATGTACCAGTTAAAAGTTATGGATTTCATTCAATCCACTGCCTGTGATAGTCAAGAAGACTGGAAAGTTGATATCAAGACAGTAAAGTTGAAATCGCCTTTAGTATTTTAATCAAAATAAACGGCCATCTTTTCACATAACATGAACCAGCCTTTTGCAAGGCCAATTTTGTGCGCTACGGTTTTGTAAGCAGGATACAATTGCCTTGTGTAGTGGTATCCAAGATAGTCTGAATCCCGGATTCATGTACTGGATTCCAGTTTTTGTAAGTGGAACTTGGATTGTAGATTCTAATCGTTAGTGGGATTCCGGATTCCTTGAGCTATGTTCTGGATTCCAAAGCCCAGGATTCCGAATTTCCAAGCAAATTTTCCCGGATTCCGGATTCCATAGGGCGAAATCAACACAAGACTACATTCGAAAATATCTCACAGCCTTGTCTTGGCGATTCCTGGTTTTACGATTAGTGCGAACCGTGGCTTTGAAGCTGGCCTTTGTCTACCAAAGGAATCTCGGAGACTTTGTCTAAGGGTGTTTTTTTAGTGCCACCGCATTGATGTAAGTAATTTAAACCATTAACGGCAAATCGAAACGCTGTGTTTTAAGCCCCCAAGGAAACGTCCTTCCGAAGCATCAAAAGATTGTATTACAGGGTATTTTTTCAACACGTATTAACATGGTCATACGTGTTTTCTCCCTGTTGTTATAATTTCATCACTGACTTGTTTCATAACAGCATGCATTTGAGGGTTTTCCTACTGAATTAGTAATGTTAGCAAA